AACAAACACGTGTCTTATGGTCAGGCCACCCAGGGTTTTCCTGAAGGCCTAGCTCGGGCAGAAGCCCACGCAGGGCCCCCAATTATTCATGAGCGACAATAACAACAAAACCAAGGTCTGTTTTTGGGCCCTCTTTTGTGGTGAGGCCCGGGGAAAATTGGTCCTTTTCTGTCCCTGCAACTTATGGGCAGCTCTGCTTACAATGGACAGGTGGAATGAGAAGGCTGGTTGAACTGGATGACAGTAACGATAATCAGGTTGCTGAGTGGCTTGGAAACAGGGACTCCTCTACTGACGATCATTCGACTTACGAACCTTCAGACATACGAACAAACCTGGTCCGTATGTCCCGTTGCCTGTTCGGATCGAGAGTCGTGAGTTCAACCGCCGTGCAACAGATGGCGGTGGTGGCATCTACATCTGCAGAACATGAAGAACTGGTGGCATCTACAGGAGATTATACAACGTTTAACGCCATTCCACGTGTTTAGTGTACACGCCATACAACGTATTTGGAATCGACAGCAGTAAAGTTGGACTTACGAACAAATCGACTTACGAACAGACCTCTAGAACTTAACTCATTCGTAAGTAGAGGAGTGTCCCTCTATAGACCTTTGAACGCAAACGCAAGAGGACTTTGATTTTGTTTTATCTATAAATGACACTTTGCCTCGCCACAACTTAGTAAACTGTTAAGAGACAGTAAACATCGCAACACATTAAACATGTAAAACTACACGTCCAATCTGCACATTTAAAAAAAAACTCTTCCAAATGAGCACAACCGATATATTTTTACACACATTTTAATTTACGTAGCAAGTTAAATATTTCAAACATTAATTTCCCTATAATATAAAGGTGGTTAATGTACACATACTTGCAAAATGCATTCATTGCGTATTAGTAAAACCCACAGACATTATCACAACTGCAGACACATTTTTTGATATCACAAATGAAACAAAACCGTTGGTTAATGTTTCAGCTGAAAAAATGTACACACATTTTATGTTAACATTTTATTCCGCTATAGTCTGATAGGAACACAGATATCAGTGTGGGGTGCAACATGATCGCAAATGAGTATTAATGTATGTGGGTCGTAAACATTGATACATGGTACATCAATTAAATATCTTGTATGGTGTGCCATTTTGTTTCATTGCATATAAAGAGGATTTTTTTGTTATAATTGTGGTTAAGGGATGATGGTCAGTCTATTGTCTAGAGAGCCCATCAGAGACAGGTCTGTCAGTCTATTGTCTAGAGAGCCCATCAGAGACCGGTCTGCCAGTCTATTGTCTAGAGACCCCATCAGAAGCCAGTCTGTCAGTCTTTTGTCTAGAGAGCCCATCAGAGACCGGTCTGTCAGTCTATTGTCTAAAGAGCCCATCAGAGACTGGTCTGCCATTCTATTGTCTAGAGACCCCATCAGAGACAGGTCTGTCAGTCTATTGTCTAGAGACCCCATCAGAGACAGGTCTGTCAGTCTATTATCTAGAGACTCCATTAGAGACCAGTCTGGCAGTCTATTGTCTAGAGACCCCATCAGAGGCCAGTCTGTCAGTCTATTGTCTAGAGACCCCATCAGAGACCGGTCTGTCAGTCTATTGTCTCGAGAGCCCATCAGAAACCGGTCTGCTAGTCTATTGTCTCGAGAGCCCATCAGAGACAGGTCCGTCAGTCTATTGTCTACAGACCCCATCAGAGACCGGTCTGTCAGTCTATTGTCTAGAGACCCCATCAGAGACCGGTCTGCTAGTCTATTGTCTCGAGAGCCCATCAGAGACAGGTCCGTCAGTCTATTGTCTACAGACCCCATCAAAGACCGGTCTATCAGTCTTTTGTCGAGAGACCCCATCTGAGACTGATCTGCAAGTCTTTTGTCTCGAGACCCCATCAGAGAGTGGCCTGGCAGTCTATTGTCTAGGGAGCCCATCAGAGATGGGTCTGCCAGTCGAGAGGCATCATCAAGCGCTCGGTTTCTTGACTCCTATTGTCTCGAGACCCTCATTAGCGACCAAACGGTCAAATATATGGTCTAGAGAAGCCCATCAGAGCCCAGTCTGCAAGTCTGCTGTCTAAACGTCCTATCGAAGAAAAGAGGGGGATATATCAATACAACTTCAGTTATTATAACGCACGTTTTGAAATCTGCACATTTTTTAAATTGTAAAAGCAGTCACTGTTGGTTTAAACAAAACAATGCTCTAACTTTTGACATTGCTGCCACATTCAGGTTTCAAAATTTTCCCCATTATTCCTGGTTAAATGCACAAGCAAAGAAAGCTTTCATGTCAAACACGAGGACTTGTGCATGCACCCTTGCATTTCCAGAAATATGTTCGTTGCTCATGCAATGTCAGTTATTTTTTTTCTAATTTTAAAACCAGTAAGTTGTAAGAATGCTGAGCGATGTAGGCAAACCTTTACAATGGATTGCATTGTTTTTACATAATTATTAATAATTATCACCCAGACACAATGCAATCATTTTGGTATCGCCCATACGGAGCAATATTTTGACAAATCAACCATTCCCAAGGTATCGCAATCCCAGAATCATCAATAAATGCCAATGAATTACGATCACGATAATGTCGAAATCACATTTAGACCACAATGCATATATTGCCAAAACGTTGTATAGTATCCCACATGATGCCTGTATGATATAGCCATAGTGAATAAATGATTGGCTACATTGAATATTTATAGACGGACTAACAATGTGGATTTCTCTTGCTCAATGCCATATTTTAAGATTTTACTCAATAAAGGTCAAAAAGTTGGACAAAAAAAACTCAAACATGACGCCATACAACGCTACAACCACCACAGTACGGAAATTATAATCATGATGTCATTAATGTACCGAAATTGTAACATACTTCCCCAAACGGTACCGTTTAAAATTGGGCATAATTATATTATTGACACGACCACGATGCGTGAACTTGTTGTTAAACGTCCGCTCTCCTCGCCACTTCCAGCCTGACAAAGCCCACGCATGTAAACAACGAAGCAGTTACCGCTATTCTAGATTTAAAGCTTTCGTGACTGCTAGGATCCATACTCTTTGGTTCTATTGGGTAAAGTCACGTAGGTAAAAAATAAAATAACAAAAATCACGACGTTTCGGCCACAACACAAGCAGCCTTCATCAGGTGAAGGGACGAGACTGTCTGGAGGACAGCGCTGTCCTCCAGACAGTCTCGTCCCTTCACCTGATGAAGGCTGCTTGTGTTGTGGCCGAAACGTCGTGATTTTTGTTATTTTATTTTTTACCTACGTGACAGTTACCTCTAACCAGTGCCACCACGGGGCTGACATCGAGCCCACTTCACAAACCAGACACGGAGCACATCGGACCGGAAGCACAGCGAACAACCCTGGCCCAGGTTGTAGTCCATTCCATTCCCCTACAAGTCTTGCGGAATCCATGTCAGGTTTACAAAGTGGTGTCACGTAGGATGTGTTCATTGGTCCTGTTATGAATGGTTATACAGGGTGCTTCAAAAAAATGTTAACGCTTCAGAGAATTTGCAACAATGCCAAGAGAAATGTGCCTCCCCCGGGGCTCTGGAGATCACCTGGAGAAGATTCCAGGCGCGCGTTGACAACAATGGCGAACACGTGGAGACTGACTTTTTGGAGCTATGTAACATTACATTTGTGATCATGTTAAAGTGTATTATCCGTTATTTTCCCATTAAAAACGATAGTCTCATATAGTGTTAACATATTTTTGAAGCGCCCTGTATTGTAGGCAATGAGACAGTACTGCGATTATGATGATTTAAACACTTTATCCGGGATAGCCTCGCCGAGCTCACCGTGGTTTTCTTTCCTTCTGCAGAGGCCTGACACCTGAACCCCTCAGACCCATAGGGGCCGGTGCAGTTGCACCGCCCGTACACTCAACGGCTACATCACCGAGTCTTAACTTTATATATTTTTTTGCACAAGGGTCTCACTTGGGATGTTTGGCCAAATTCCATGTTTAATGTTTTTTTTTCGTGTGAGCAGAAGGAAAACCAAAGTGCGTGCAGAAAATCCACGAAGACAAAGATCCCCCACGTATAGCATGTACCAGACTGTTGGGACAAGTGATGTCAGCGAGCACCTATGAAGGCCGGCACGGTACACGAGGTCAACACGACGCCCAGCCACCGTTGTCTACCCAGTGGTGATGTTTACACACCGCACCAGGAACTAATTTGATGCCGAGTCAACCTAGGGGAGGCTCACGATAATTATCAATGGTGTTGGCCATGAGCGCGAGTCGAACTCGGGTGGCCGGGTGCATAGCGCAGCGTGCTAACCGCTACACCACCCCAGAAAAACCACACACACACACACCGGTGAACACAAACTCCATGCAAAGAGGTCGTAAACATACTTGCTGCGATGCTCCCCTACACACAGCTCGCCTTCCAGTTTCTGGGTTAAAAATAAAGACACGACTTGGGACCACACTCGATTAACGGCAGTCGCCGTGTAAAGGGACGCGGAGGAATCTGACCGTGGGGCTCTATCGGCCTCGGCCTGGGAGCGAACTCTGCCACCAGCTGCTCAGTGAGCGTCGTGACCCAGAGCGGCGCCAACCAACCTGGGAAATCCGTCGCTGGATTGAACGACGTTTCGGGTTTGCCTGGCGACAGAACATCGTCACTGCGACCAGCTACGATTCTTCCTAGGACAACGACAACAACATTGCTCAAATTTCGTGAGCGATACCAATTACGGTACAAAGGATTCTGGATCCGCTGGCTACGTGCAACGCTCGGCATTAGTCGGGGCGCCGTCTAGCAACTTTTTGTTGAGGTTGTTGGTTCGAGTTGTGGACAGCGGAACGACGCGCGGGATGAAGACTTTAACGGAAGGCAATTAATAAACCGATACGCACGGCAACAGCTGGTTAAAAATCGACCGTGTTAACGGCAACAGTCTCAACGATTGCAGGATGAAAGAAAACACGGATGTATTGTCTCTCCCCCGTGATATAAGGAGTGTATTGTTCAAACGACATCTCGTTTAATAAATAGCGACACGTCATTACAAACACCTATTATACACGCCGTGATATACAGATAGATACTATTGTTAACAAGGTGCGGTACTTAACACTAAACAGTATATTACAGTATTTGAAAGTGATGTTTAAATTTTTTTTTAAAATTTTAGCTGGCGACGCTGCAGATTCTTTTTTTAGTCGGATTTTTTGTTTTCTCTCAAAAAATATCGTTTCTGCCTCTCTTCGAAAAACCGCGTGCGAATGTTTGCGTCTCTAGCCGCGCTACGCGCGCCACCGCCGATTCGACGATAGCGACCGAACATTGTGTGTAAAAAAAAAAAATTCTGATGAAACACTGTCGCACCGTTCGGATATGACTTTGATTGTTTGATTACCCTGATTGGCTTTTGCCGAGTGTTCATGTAAAGTGCACCAGCAGCTGTTTTGGTTGCGACAAATGGGGCGCGTTATCTTGCAAATGAAATGCCTCGCGAGTCACGCTTCCGCAAGACTTCCTAACCACCGTACGTATGCGAAAATACGTTGCATGTGTTTGTTTTCAATGTTACGTTCATAAAGATTTCCAAAGATTTATCCAGATTTTCTACGATTTATGCAGATTTTTTGTTTATTATCCAGATTTTCAACGATTTATCCAGATTTTTAAATATCCATATTGTCAACGATTTATCCAGATTTTTTTGATTATTCAGATTTTCAACGATTTATCCAGATATCCAACTGGCATCCAAATTGATAACATTCAGATTAAAAAACATTCATCCAAATATCGAACATTCATCCAGATTTTTAACAACAGTATCACCTTTTTCAGCATCATGGAAGTGGCCGTTTGTGATAAGCAATTACCATTCTGGATTATAATTAGATTTTTTTTTATAAATATATATTCTTGTAGATTCATTCGTTGATAGGTTATCCCACTAAAATGATGTGGAAAAGTTATAGAGATAACATTTTAATTTAAAGCCTCCAACAAGTCTTTGAACCCTCTCCAGATTCACCTTATCCGACATTGGCATCGCTTTTGCAAAGTGCAATCATCCGTCGGGAAAGAAAACGCTCATTAGGGAGATCAGTGGGGCCATCGATCAATGGACCACACTGCACACCGTTCAAAACTCAATTACGAATTATGAGTTTCCCCAATCACCACGTCGTCCAAACGCGATGTTTGTTTCTGTTTGCAAGCCATCGGACGATGCCGGGCGATGCCGGGTAAGGAGGAGGGGTGGTGGTTAGGGGGGCCGAATTGTTTTCCTTATTTATGAAGGTCAAAATCGACTGTCGGTTGGCGCACCACAGGGAGAGAGTCGCCCAATTATAGCCCTGAAGCCACCGACCAAAGTCCCAGCTTTCACGGCGGTTGGATAAAAAAAAAAATTCGTTTAACGTTATTATACGGCTACAACACGAACCCAGCGATACGGGGGGGGGGGGGGGGTTGGGTGAATGAAAGTACAGGTTGTGCGTGCACGCGTGCGGTTGTGCTATTACGTGCGGCGTTGCGTGACATCCGCCACGCCGCCGTAACGCAGAGACAGCCCAGCCTCCGGTACCGCGCGATGGAGTGGGCGTTGCGATTCGATTCAAGGATTATTATTTCTCTTCTTTGCAGTGGCATCTAGCAGCTACGGGGGGGGGGCTTCACGTGAACCCATTACGTACAACATATTACAAAATATTAACAAACTAACGGCTCTGTCAATCCACTGCTGGATGAAGGCCCTTGCCATGCCGTCGTGTATGTAGTTTGACTATACTTCACCACGTTGGTCAGTGCCGGTTGGTGAAGGGGGCAGAGGGGTAGGTGTTTCCAGTCGTCGCTCACCACTCATGTCAGCTGCGGCCGGGACATCGAGATCAAGAGTGCGAGCTTCAGAGCGCGGCAGGCACACCACTGCACCACCGCTCCCAACTCCGCGGTATAATTTAAATCGCGCGACCGCAATTCTCATGCGTGGGTCGTGCGCCCAATCGATTCGTTGACGTGAATCGACGAACGGAGGTCGCGCCTCTTCGGGCACAGACGCTGGTGACCAAAGGTCCGACAATTCCAGTCACCGTTCTCTACATCAGACAAAACGCAGCCCGCCCACCCCACCGTTCCCCCCCCCCCCCCACCCACCGTTTTGTTCATACGCTACGAATGTTTGTCGAATATTGATTGATGCAAACGTTAACAGTTCTGTACAGCAGCAATCATATCCCACCACAATAAATACAACACGAGCAAATCCGTCGGTGCCGCTTCGCCTTATTTACAAATCAGGAATAATTATGGTTAATAATACACGCGACACAAAGAGCTCACAAGCAAGCGGGATACGACGCGTTAGTAAGCCTGCACTAAACCGCACTTGCCTCTATTCAAACGCGCGCGCTCACACACACACAATATATGTGAGGTGGAGATTAAAAAAAAATTCTGAAAATGAGATGTTAATAAATGGTCACGGTCATTTTAACCAATTTTATTTCCCCTTTTTTTTCTACTCGCAGAACCAAGCCAAGCTTAGCCAATGAGGGGCCCTTGCGGTACGGCTGGATCTCTCTACGGTCTAATTGACGAGCCGGAAAAGAAAACACTGCCATACGCTGGCCTCACAAGACACCGATTCTGGCTCGGGGCCAAGCAGGGCCAGGGGCGGGGCCAATGACGTGTTTACCCGCGTGACGTCGATGGCTGAATGGCAGATTGATCATCTGTCAAGCCATCTGAGGTGAGTGAAACGCATCACACCTGGGTCTGCCCTGTGACCTGCCAGCGGGCGAGCTTTCGAGACTTCACGCGATAGGCTCGAAGCGCACCTAGCCTGGCACAAGCGCTGGGGCGACTCAGTCGTTGCTTGACCATACTTAACCACGCTGCTCAATCTGGGTTGGTGAAGGTGGAGAGGAGTGGGTGGGGTGTTGGGGGGGGGGCAGGACTGGTTCAGGTATCACTCGCTACTGATGTTAGCCGTGACCAAAATAAACTTAGCCCGCTGGGTTCGTAGTGCAGGGTGCGAACCACCACATCACCGCTCCACAGTAACGTACGATAATTTACAACAGGGCACATGGGAGTCTACGCATACAGTTGACCATCTAATTCCGAGCGCATTTCAGACCTTCCTGCACATGTATGCTGCACGCACGTTGCAATATTTATAAGTTACACTTAAGTATTGTGAGATATATATAAAAGAATCACACCTACATGTACACACAAACCTAACAATAGAGTCGGCATGTATAAAAGGTTAGCCACAAGGACGCGCTGAGAAAAGGTGAATTGCATATTGTCCGCAAGTACAAAGAGAACATTGGAATTCAGCTTCTATTGATTAAATCCTGAGCTAACAGTGGATACTGGAAGATGTCAGAGAAATAGTGGTGTTTTGCGTATATAAAGTGGTAAAGAGCACCGATAGAAGACCAAAAAAGACAGATTTTCCCCTGTGCAAGCGTAACCTTGTCATTACAGGATACAAATTTTATACATGTAATCTTTTTTTTTAAGTTCTGTCTTAAGAATTTTGACCGGCCACGTGACTCAGCGGGAGATTGAGCCACTTTGCAATGGGAATAACTCCTTGGTTCGGGCTTGGCTCAGCCCCATGATAAATGAGTACCACCTTGCGTGCAAGTCAAAGGTTGGTTGTCTGATGGTTAGAGACTTTTCCCCGCCCGTCATAGGAATGTGGAATTTCCACCACTGGCTCAGGGCTGTAAACGGGAGATGGAGCACCTCTGCCTCAATGCTCATTTGGACAGGAAATCTCTTTGTGACTTTAAAAAAAAGATTTATTTTCCCACCAGGATATCTCGAGGGCGTTTAATTTTTTTGTCAAAATTGCGTTTGATTTCAGTGCTTTAAAAAATGTCGGTTTCGTGCAAACAAAAAAATAACAACTGTGCAACGGACCTTACTGACCCGCAATGATACGAGCCAACGACACAGCCACCGTCCTTGCCTTCACGGAACCAACCAGGCCACGTTTAAAATGAATCACCTTCTGTTCCATAGCTCAAGAAAAAAAGATGCTCCCAGTATTTTGGGCCTACTGGCTTTGCAAGCAGCAAATAAGTCTGGTCGATATGTAAAAAATATATTTGAAATGTTCAGCCTCGACCACCGCCCTTCATCCCTTCCAGCGACGTGCCCTGCCAAAGCCCTCTTGCTTTTTTTATTTTCCAAACGTTCCAGGGCGGCGTCTGCCACAGAGATGCGGCTCGTTGCGCAGGTGCCTGGCGAAGCTGCGACACCGCCGGACGCCGTGAGAGATGGCGACAGCTTGGGGAGGGGGCCCTCATCCGACGGCGGATTGCCCGTGACCGACGGTAACGATTAGATTTTTCCGCGAAGAAAGAGACCGGAGGCGATGACATTTTAGCTGCAGCGCGGTGCTCCTTGAGATTTTAAAACACGCGGCCGTTTTGCCGTTAGAAAGTTAATTCGCTACGTTCGTCGGACGAAATGTTACGATAAAGTCGATGGGTGAGCAAGGTGGGTGCTGTCACGCATCGCTTGTCTGTTGCTGTTCCTAACCAGTTTCATCAGGGCACCCCGTGGCATCGGCGTATGAGACGGCACCTGACTGAGCAGGCCCACTGAAGTTGAAACCAGTCCAAGCAAGCCCCGCTAATATTATAGGGGGAGGGTGGTATCTTTTTGCAAGGGGGTACACCTGGCGTGAATGCAAGAATAAATACGGGTGAAGGTTTACAAGAGTACAAAACCGGTAGAAAAATGTTGAACATTTTCATCGGAACGGCCGGTTTGGGGCCCGATAAATAAGCATTATTTTTGTTTATTATTATTATTATTATTTCTTCTTCATTCGGCGATTAAATAAACTCCCCTGACTGCACGAGTTTGTCTCGACGGCAATTTGATTGGATTACATCGAGCACAACGGAGGAGGCTTGAGACGCGAGAGAGTGAAGGAACGCCTCGCCAGCAGGGCACGCGCGCGCGGGGAAGCCGGGGGGAGGGGGGCGAAGTGCACTTTTAAATCGGATCCGAGCACCAGTCTCTGATTGTAGTGGAATTGACGTCAACTCCGGTGTCCGCGAGTCCAACAAGCGGTGTTCACCAAAACGTCCGGCAGAAAGAAAAAGAGGCGAAGATTAAAAAAAAACACGGCACCCTTCGCGATCGGGCGAGCGCCGTATCGGGCCGGGCAGGCTCGGTAAACGTGAACCCGGGCGCTGTCAAAGCGCCGACGGGGCTAAAAACCGCCGGAGGTCACGGCCGCAGACCTGATGCGGCGTGTGACTTTGCGCGGTCCTGATCCGCCTCTTCGTCAATCGGAAAGCGGCTTGCGCTCCCCAGCCGTTCCTCTTGACGAGACGGTGGGGAGGGGGGGGGGGGGGGGGGGTGGGGGGCTCTTTAACGGCGTCCACCGCCGTCGTGGCGTGCACGACGGGGCGCGACGGGGCGCGACCGGCCGTCTCTCTCTCGAGAGAGAGTCACGGCCCCGCTCAACGACGAGAATTCCGCGATGACAAAACAAAACAAAACGGGTCGCCGGCGCGCGAACGCCAGCGCGGGAACCGCGTGGGTTTTTGGAGGGAGCGCCCGCGGCTTTTTGTCGTCGGCGGTCGCTGTTACCCGGTGGCGGCAGCGTCGGCGAGGAAGGTTGCGGTGCGGCGGGGAAGGGGAAGGGGGGGGTGGTGCCACGAGAGGCCGAGTCGGCGAGCGACCGTGCCAGGCTCAACGACCGGGCCGTCCTAGCAGATGTCGGACACCTTACAGATCTGCAACGTACAGACACACGCACGCACGCGCACGCACGTACATCGCGTTTAGGTTTGCTGACATGTGTGGTGTAGTCGCCAAATATACTGTGTACTCTTAAACCATGACCTCATCCTTTATCAGTTGCGCAACAAGAATCATGTGCGGTGTTTGTTGCGGGTGTTCGACGTTTTATATATATATATGCCAAAATAAAGAAGTATATGCAGCATTTAGATGCTCTGTGGTATTTAGGTCCTTCAGTGGGGCACTGCCTTGACGTGGCAAATAAAATATGAAACTAAACTATTTTTATTTTGCCAGGCGAGGGCGCACTGTGCTATGTCGCGCTTTTTCAGGAGTAACCTGATCGCCCAACGAAGTGGCTCATCATCATCAGCATCATGTGGGAATTTACAGCAGCCAAAGACTCGAAACGCTGATTCTAAATGTGGAGGGGAAACCAGAGGACCCGGAGAAAATCCATCCGACCACGAGGAGAGACACACAAACTCCAAATATAAAGCAAGCGTCAGGGTCGAGATCGAACCCACGACCTCCTGCATACCAAGCGAGGGATTTAACATCTCCTAACCACCGTGATGATGATGAGAGAGAGAGAGACACGCAAACTCCAAATATACAGCAGCAGGCGTCAGGGTCGGGATCGAACCCACGACCTCCTGCATACCAGGCGAGGGAGTTAACATCTCCTAGCCACCGTGATGATGCTGATGAGAGAGAGACACGCAAACTCCAAATATACAGCAGCAGGCGTCAGGGTCGAGATCGAACCCACCACCTCCTGTACACCAGGCGAGGGAGTTAACATCTCCTAGCCACCGTGATGATGATGAGAGAAAGAGACATGCAAACTCCAAATATACAGCAGGCATCAGGGTCGGGATCGAACCCACGACCTCCTGCATACCAGGCGACGGAGTTAACATCTCCTAGCCGCTGCAGGGCCCTGAAATAAACTTGAGAGCAGGGGTAGACCCTGGATCGGGGCACCCACAATGGTCAAGCACCCAGATACATGGCGCCGTTGTTGCCAATATTGTCCTTCTGGTACCCAATCAATGCGGCTAAGATGCTTGCAGTGATGGATAAACAATCGCTTCAAAGCGGTAGGCCTCATACGACCGTGGAACGTCCGAAATAGAATTCCGAGGGTCGTGCAAAATGAAAACCACGGGTTGTGTTCAATAATTATTATTTTTATTACGCCATGGGACACATCCGGCGCACGGGCCATAGCTTCCTTCTTCCTGGTGTAAAAAGGGGGGGGGGTAGGTGGAGGGGGGGATGGTGGCAGCTGGGGAAGGGGGGGCAGTGGAGATAGAGGTCAGAGGTTGGGTTGTATATATGTATGTAGCATCATCAGTAGCACTATCAGCGTCAGCAACATCAGCAGCAGCAGCAGCGTCGTGGGCAGTAGTGTCATCACCAACATCATCAACAACAGCATTGTCAGAAGGATCGTCAGCGGCATCACCAGCTGGTAACATCATCAGCAGCAGCAGAATTATCACCAAAACATTGCGGTGCCGTTGTTGTCCCGTCCTCGTATAGCGAACATTCCCCTGACCTAAAGCCAAGACATTAACAATTGAGCACGACGTTTCGCTGGTGATTACAACCAGCTTCATCAGGTGATTTACCAGAATCACTTGTAAACGTTGTGGGTTTACTACTCGCCATCGCACCGATGCGCCGAAGCGATTGCTAATTGGCACGTTTTGTTCACGTGTGTATTTATTTCGCACCGCACGTAACCATCCGGTGGAAGGACAACAATCAGTTCTAAAGAAACGAGTTTTCTATCTAGATTATTTAAAAGCGCAGAGCTCCAGTGGCTTCCTAACATCGGAAGGAAGAGAGCGTTCCAGACGGCCGCAGAAGCGCATCTGAAAGCGCCGCGCGGTTGTGGCGACCGTCTTTGTTCGGTGGCCAGCCAAAAGCCGCCAACTCGGAGTTTGCGTGAATCAACGAGGGGGATTGTACAAGTCGGTAGCTCCGAGCGGCATTCCTGACATCGGCCGACGAGCTAAAACGCAAACAAAACGTTCCGCTCACGGGGTTCGCTTGCTCGTCCACGACGTCCTCCGTCTCCCCGTCCGACGCGTTGAACATCTCCTCCCCGCTCGACCAGCCGCCGTCGGCGGAGCGCTCGCACGGATCCTGGGAACGCCGGTGGCCGGGGGAGCAGGCTGCCGGCGAGGGGGAGGTGGGGGGGGAGAGACACGGCAACGCGGGGGTCCCGAGGTTCTCAGATTCTCACGCGACGGAGCGCGGCCGACACAACGCGACAGCAACAACAACAATGACGGCGGCGGCAGCGGCCGCCGTTCGTCGCGAAGTGGCGACGCCCTCGCCGCCACGGCGCTTGTGCCAGGTCAGGTGCACGTCGAGGCCGCGTGAAGTGTCGAAGGTCTAGCTTTGGCAGGAGGGGGACGGGACAGGCCCAGGTGTTATAATTCGTGGCCAGGTAGCTTCCGAAAAAATAAACTAATTGGTGAGTGTGGGCTTTACCTGGTAAGACACAAAACAAATGTTTCGTTTGATTTGTAGATATTTTATAAAAAGTTATTTGATTACCTTTCCTATACTTACACTCCTATTGTGCGTTTGTATTGATTGTTCATGTTGTAACTTCCTGACCCGCCCCTACTGGACATCTGTGAAAAAGAGTTTTATAGCTCATCGGATTCCTCCAGTATAAATAAATATTCTGATTCTGTTATGAGTTGACTGACGAAGATCTATTTGACCGGCAGGCCAACACAAAGAGGTGATATCACAACTAACAAGTCACGTGACAACTAACCTGGGGTCACGTTGCAACCGACCAGTTCACGTGACAACCGATGAAGCCGCGTGACAAACAACTGGGTCACGTGGCAACGAGGTGACGCGATGGTAACCGACCGGGCGACAGCCAATCAGGCCACGTGATTTCAAACGGCCTCCCTGCCCCAAAGTAGCGTTGCGATGTTGCTTATCTGTCGGTAGGCCCTAAACCGGTGGTGGAAAGTGCCGATCACAATGACCATACTTCACCACGCCGGCCAGTCTGCCGGTTGGTGAGGGCGGGGGAGCGTAGAGCCGTGGGGAGATTAAAAGTGCAACAACCGGTTGTCCCGCCGGGCATCAACTTGGCAACAAACAAACAAAAAAAACCCACAAGCGGCCTATAGCAGCTGTTATGCATGGTGGTCACCCTTCCTGGCACTTAAAGACAGCCTCGAGAAATTGCTTGGCTTCAGAGATCTGGAGGCATTCTGGAGAGATTTTGTCGCAGGCAAAAAAAAAAGGATGCGCCCTGTGCTTTATCCAAGACGGATGGTACACATCTGTATATCAGCACATGTAGCATTCACCTGTGTGTGGGTGTATAGTGTATTGCACTGGATGCAGCATGAGTCTGTATATCGATAAAGGTAGAGCGGGGAGGCATGCATCTCAATACATCAAGCGCCTGTTTGTATTACCAACCCGTCAGTGTGTATGGCACGCACCTGTAGTACTAAAAAAACACACACACACACACACACCTGTACACATCAGAAGAAAAAAAAAAACACACCACAGCCAAGCTAGCCCTTCGCTGTGTACCACGCAGCATGCACACCTGCGAAAAATACCTACGACACCTGTAATGTTACACGCACACCTGTGCGTAGCCCGGGTAAAACACGTACGCACACGCGGATCTCACATGCCCACCGTACTGAAAGCAGCGGCCGGCAGGCTGCCGTGTTCTAAAATAACTTTTACCACCGCGCAGCGATTTTTACAGGCGTACACCGAGCCGAAATACGTTTCGGCATTTTTCCGCGTTGCAGTCTGTTCTCCCGTAACGCCGCGTGCTTTCACGACGCGAATCGGGATAAACGACGCGATGAGCGTGCGAGGGAACGCGTTGCTTCTAGCGCGGACGCGAAATGGCCATGAAACGCGATCGGGCGAACGGAAACTCCGTCGCCGCGCGAGTCGGAAATAAGCGGTTTGCGCGGCTGCCTCAGTGCGGCGTCACACAAGGCGTCGGGATGCTGCTGGATGCTTCTGGATGCTACCCCCCCACGCGCCTCAGTCGTTGTTCGGCCTGCGTACGCGTCTCACGGCGTTATCGCGGACTGCGCTTTACCCCGCTAATGTTATACGTTATTTATTAAAACGCGATTCTTAGATGACGCGGTGCTTGTCAGGAACGCAACTACCCCGCCCGCCGCGTTACGGGAGAACAGACGGTATCCCGAAAATGCCGCGATGCGATGAGAGATCAGCTCTGAAAAAATAAAATAAAAAATCGGTAAATTGGTTCTACGCTTCGACAGCCTGCCGCTTGCGCCAGTAGGGTCCGGGCACGTGGCAACGTACGTCGCGAGCACGCGTACGCGTGCGCGAGGGTCATCAGCAGGCATGTAACGATGCTTCGATTCGTCGATCAAAATCGATCCTTTTGGCTGACGATGCGCGAGGGACTCGATTTTTTGTTCGTGAAATTGTACATGGGGCGTACGACGTGCACTTACAGGAACGAACCAGTGACGGTGCGAACGTGGGACACAGCAACGTCAGGCACGTGACAAGAGACAGACAAGACGAACGATACAATGGAAAAGAAGACCGCAAACGAAGATGGACAGAGAAATGGAGACGGAACGAATTGTATGAGCGGGGGACAGGAGAGACAGAGCGACAGAATGAGACAATACAAAATGAGACGAGGCAAAGCTACAAATGAGAGACTCTCGTATTACATACGAGAGAGAGAGAGAGACAACGCTAATGAGTCTGTAACACAAAGGGAACGAAGACGTTAATAGCGGAACGGAATGACGACTCTCAATCGCGACTGTTCATTCGTGAACGCTGGGAAGTGAATCGTTACATGCCTGACAATCCGGCGGCGTGTGCCTGTTCGGCAGTGGCGCAGGAGTGCTTGGCGAGGGCCCTGGGACAAGGAATTAAATTCCCCCATCCCCACCATTTGATTTCTGCCCCTCTTTATAATCCGGCAACATGGGCACCTCTGGGCCTGTGGGTCCCAGAGCAGTTGCACCGCCCGCATACTTTACAGCCACGCCACTGCTGTTGGCAAAACACACCGTGATCTGCTGATGGCTCAGTATCATTTGCTTGCACGGGATGATGACGACGACGACGACGACGACGACGATGACGACGAACTTCACATTGAGCATGCGTTACCACCAGGTATTGAACTTACACAGCACGCACACACAAACACACCAAGCTGGACAAACCAAGTCCAGGAGATGGGAGCATTCCCACTGAAATGAAAGAGCCTGGCGAAGAAACAAGTGGCCCAAAGTGGATTCGCGGCGTTCGGAACGGGGGAAAAACGATAGTTTCATAAGGAGCGACGTGATCATCGACCGCAAGTCCATGGGAACTGACCGCTCGCTTGCGAGAGCTGCCGAGGGTATTTTTCCCCTCGGCCCATTTTCTGGAAAGTCACGTAGAATGGAAATAAAATTACAAAAATAAAACATTTCCATTCTACGTGGTGACTTTACCGAAAGAACCAAGAAGATGAATCCCTGCAGTCACGAAAGCTTTACATCGACATTTTTGTCCTCGTCAGGGAATTTCGATGCCAACTGAAATGTTTTGAGATCAACGATTAACCGGTGAGTTAAACTGTTATCGGCTGCCAACGCAACGCCAGTGCAGGGTGCAAAAAGTATTATGGCGTTTCCCATAATGCTTTGCAGCATCAGCACGTGTTGTTATTGTCATTTGTTCTCAATCGTATACCGGCTGTGCTGTCGGCATCACATCATGAGATCAATACTTGTTTACTAATTTTCACCAGCGCTACACTTGACGTTAGATAATGGCTCACAGAAGCATATTATGTTTTTTTTACTATTATTTTATTTTACCAGGTAAGGCCCACTTGAGCTATATAATTCTTTTTCAGAAGCGACCTGGCATCAAATAATAGCCTCAACGAAGTGGCTTATCACGTGGAAATTTATAGCAGCCAAATAAACACACGTGATGTTAATTCTAAAACGTGGAGGGATAAAACGGACTACGCGGAGACAAATCCACGCGACCACAGGGAGAGAGACATCCAAACTCCCGTGACCTCCTGCACACCAGGCGAGGTAGTCAACATCTCGCCACCGTGGAAATTCTCATGGATGGCGGCGGATGATGTTGGCTCGTTATGAGGGGGGCATGAACAAAATAAATCCCCCGGGTAGCGCAAATGAGAACGACGCCTGTTCTCCCTTTCTCCTCACCCTGCAGCCAGGGATGCTCGCTCCGGTCTATCAGCTCCTGCGAGCTGAGCCGTGACCGTCTGTAGCCTGCAAAGGTGAGCAATTAAGACACACGCACGGACAGAGAAACAACACACTGGCGAACGTCTCTTCGTTCAGTCTCGTAGGATGCAACGGGGGGGGCGGGGGCGGGGGGCAAGCGTTGTTTCGCGAGCGCCTGTTAATTGTCGGACGCGGCGTTCGTTGCTCTCGGCCGCCGGCAAAATCTGGCGACGTGCGTCCCTGCCCAAGCACGCGCTATCGCTCTTCTTTTCTCGACGGTTCGAACGAGCCGAATCAACCTGCGGTGGGACGTGTATTTTTTCTTCTATTCTTTCGCCCTTCTGCCTCTCTCTCGACGGAATTGCAGGCGGCGTTCGCGCGTCCCTCCCACGCCCCTCCCGCGCCGAAACCTCTGCAGCTTCCGCTCTTGCGTGCCAGCCGCCGCTCCTCCGCGTTTCTCGTCCGTACGTCCGAGCGGGTGGCGCGCGCACCGGTCGCGCGATCCTGTGCCGCGCGATCCTGCGCCGCGCGATCCTGCGCCGCGCGAAAATCACACGGGCTGCACCGGAGCATCTCCGAGCGGCCGCGAGGGAAGCGCTTAACGTGCGCGTGAGCAGGCGTGCGGTCCCGTTGGCTGGGAGCGGTGGCGTGGCGGTTAGAGCCACGCTGCGCCACGAACCCGGCGGCCCGAGTTCGATGGTTCCCGCTCGCGGCCAACACCGGTGACGATTATTCTGAACCGGTCATGGGTCCTCCTCCCCTAGGTCGAGCCAGCCTCAAATGAGCACCTGGTGAGGTGTGTAGTAAACATCGCCACTGGGGAGACAAAGGCGGCCGGGCGTGGTGCTGGCCAACCACCCCCTCGTGTGTTTTTGTCGGCCTTCATAGTGTGCTCGCTAGCAGAACTTGCCCCTACAGTCTGTCCAGGATATACGGGGGATATTTGTCTTTGGTCCGTTCACAGATTTGTCTCCACAAGAGATTTGGTGAACTTGACCAAGGGAAGTTGCCGTGATAGTTGATGAGTGGTGGCAGCTTCTGGTTCATCAGGTGATTGGGGCAATTCTCGTGATTGTGACTTTGTTTGTCCGAGCGCCAACTTTGTTTTCCCTTGAAAATGTTTTCTACTTTCTCTCTCTCTCTCTCTTCTTATCCCCTCGGCCACGGATGACTTCAACACCCGTTTGCTTTGGCGTTTTTTCAGCATGCTTTATCGCCGACCAAATAAAGATTTACACGATGCACGAACGCATGCGCCGCATATCTCCGCTCTCAACGCCCTCGTAGGGGAGTTGGGGGGGGGGGGGGGCAAAGTCACCCTCCTGCCGACCGCAATCTCTCCTCGAGCACGAAACGCGGGGCACGGGCGGACACGGGGCGATCGAAGCAAGGAGGCGGAACGTTCGCGTCCACACACGGCCACAACTCACCCAGAGGCCACTCGTCCTCGCTCCGATTCACCGTCTCCTGGGCGCTCATCCGCCGCTTAGCAAACCCTGTGAGGGGGGGGGGGGGGGGGGGGGGGAGGGCATCGGACAGGCGGGTCAAAAAATATTGTTTTGGGGGGGGCGTCGACTCAAATGTAGATTTATTTTCTGTTACGTACGTATGGATGCACGTTGAACTTCTTTCACGCCGCACGTGGCCGACCGTGCGGGGGAAAAACAACAAACTATGGGTCTCTGTGTGAGTCTATGGGTCTCTGTGTGAGTCTATGGGTCTCTGTGTGAGTGTCTATGGGTCTCTGTGTGAGTCTATGGGTCTCTGTGTGAGTGTCTATGGGTCTCTGTGTGAGTGTCTATGGGTCTCTGTGTGAGTCTATGGGTCTCTGTGTGAGTCTATGGGTCTCTGTGTGAGTGTCTATGGGTCTCTGTGTGAGTCTATGGGTCTCTGTGTGAGTGTCTATGGGTCTCTGTGTGAGTGTCTATGGGTCTCTGTGTGAGTCTATGGGTCTCTGTGTGAGTCTATGGGTCTCTGTGTGAGTCTATGGGTCTCTGTGTGAGTGTCTATGGGTCTCTGTGTGAGTCTATGGGTCTCTGTGTGAGTGTCTATGGGTCTCTGTGTGAGTGTCTATGGGTCTCTGTGTGAGTCTATGGGTCTCTGTGTGAGTCTATGGGTCTCTGTGTGAGTGTCTATGGGTCTCTGTGTGAGTCTATGGGTCTCTGTGTGAGTGTCTATGGGTCTCTGTGTGAGTGTCTATGGGTCTCTGTGTGAGTGTCTATGGGTCTCTGTGTGAGTCTGTGGGTCTCTGTGTGAGTCTATGGTCTCTGTGTGAGTGTCTATGGGTCTCTGTGTGAGTGTCTATGGGTCTCTGTGTGAGTCTGTGGGTCTCTGTGTGAGTCTCTATGGGTCTCTGTGTGAGTCTCTATGGGTCTCTGTGTGAGTGTCTATGGGTCTCTGTGTGAGTGTCTATGGGTCTCTGTGTGAGTGTCTATGGGTCTCTGTGTGAGTGTCTATGGGTCTCTGTGTGAGTGTCTATGGGTCTCTGTGTGAGTGTCTATGGGTCTCTGTGTGAGTGTCTATGGGTCTCTGTGTGAGTCTGTGGGTCTCTGTGTGAGTGTCTATGGGTCTCTGTGTGAGTCTGTGGGTCTCTGTGTGAGTGTCTATGGGTCTCTGTGTGAGTGTCTATGGGTCTCTGTGTGAGTGTCTATGGGTCTCTGTGTGAGTGTCTATGGGTCTCTGTGTGAGTCTGTGGGTCTCTGTGTGAGTGTCTATGGGTCTCTGTGTGAGTCTGTGGGTCTCTGTGTGAGTGTCTATGGGTCTCTGTGTGAGTCTGTGAATCTCTGTGTGAGTCTGTGGGTCTCTGTGTGAGTCTGTGGGTCTCTGTGTGAGTCTATGGGTCTCTGTGTGAGTGTCTATGGGTCTCTGTGTGAGTCTATGGGTCTCTGTGTGAGTCTATGGGTCTCTGTGTGAGTGTCTATATGTCTCTGTGTGAGTGTCTATGGGTCTCTGTGTGAGTCTGTGGGTCTCTGTGTGAGTCTATAGGTCTCTGTGTGAGTCTATGGGTCTCTGTGTGAGTGTCTATGGGTATCTGTGTGAGTCTGTGGGTCTCTGTGTGAGTGTCTATGGGTCTCTGTGTGAGTCTGTGGGTCTCTGTGTGAGTCTATGGGTCTCTGTGTGAGTCTATGGGTCTCTGCGCGGGTCTATGGGTCTCTGTGTGAGTCTATAGGTCTCTGTGTGAGTCTATGGGTCTCTGTGTGAGTCTATGGATCTCTGTGTGAGTCCATGGGTCTCTGCTCGAGTCTATGGGTCTCTGTGTGAGTCTGTGGTCTCTGTGTGAGTCTATGGGTCTCTGTGTGAGTGTCTATGGGTCTCTGTGTGAGTCTATGGGTCTCTGTGTGTGCAGTCTATGGGTCTCTGTGTGAGTCTATGGGTCTCTGCACGAGTCTATGGGTCACTGTGTGAGTCTATGGGTCTCTGTGTGAGTCTATGGGTCTCTGTGTAAGTCTATGGGTCTTTGTGTGAGTCTATAGATCTCTGTGTGAGTCTATGGTCTCTGCGCGAGTCTATGGGTCTCTGTGTGAGTCTATGGATCTCTGTGTGAGTCCATGGGTCTCTGCGCGAGTCTATGGGTCTCTGTGTGAGTCTGTGGTCTCTGTGTGAGTCTATGGGTCTCTGTGTGAGTGTCTTTGGGTCTCTGTGTGAGTCTATGGGTCTCTATGTGAGTAGTCTATGGGTCTCTGTGTGAGTCTATGGGTCTCTGCACGAGTCTATGGGCCACTGTGTGAGTCTATGGGTCTCTGTGTGAGTCTATGGGTCTCTGTGTGCGAGTCTATGGGTCACTGTGTGAGTCTATGGGTCTCTGTGTGAGTCTATGGGTCTCTGCGCGAGTCTATGTGTCCCCCATGCGAGTCTAAGTACACACGTACGTTGCACTTCTTTCGCACCGTACGTAGCCAGCCGTGCTAATAGGAGGATACACAGTATGTACATATTTTTTTTTTAAAAAAACCTCATCACGGAAGAGAGAAATTAATTTGGTCGAGAACGAGAGGGCGCAAGATGACCACCGACTGCAACCTTTTACCCGCGTGCTCTGGCCACGGTGACCTTGCACCCCGGTTTGTTTCGTTAGACATTTTGGACACGTCCCTTTGCGCTGTCCGCCAAATAACAAGAACTCCTGTCTGTGTGTGTGCGTGTGTGTGTGTCTGTGTGTATGTTTGTGTGTGTGTGCGTGTGCGTGTGGGGAGCGGTAGTGTAGCGGTTAGCGCGCTGCGCTATGAACCCGGCGACATGGGTTCGATTCCCGCTCACGGCCAACACCAGTGACGATTATCTGAACCGGTCCTGGGCCTCCTCTAGGTCGACTCAGCCTCAAATGAGTACCTGGTGCGGTGGATAAAAACGTCGCCACTGGGGAGACTAAGGCGGTCGGGCGTGGTGCTGGCCACCCACCCCCTCGTGTGCCGTTCCGGCCTTCATAGGTGCTCGCTAACAGCACTTGCCCCTACAGTCTGTTAAGGCTACACGGGGGATCTTTGTCTTTATCTTTGTGTGCGTGTGCTGGCGCCACCACCGCCACCGCCCATTTTCAGCACAGCAGCGGCATTGACGGGGCTGTCGAACATGCGCGGCAGAGTGGAAACAAAAACACCTGAAAGTTCCCCTGTCAAGGCTGGGCAGCACTTGTCATTTTGATCATGATTATTACTCGAAATGATTACGATCATTTAACCAGGAGAGCCTCACCGAGTCTCAAGACTCTCTGTCAGGAGGCGTCCTGTCTAGTTTGCCTGGTAGAGGGTGAGCTTGCCATGTGCAAATCCCAATTTAGTATTTTGTAGGTAATTTTTTTAAGCATTGAGATGTTTGGCCGACAGCAGTAACATTGTCTGGGTTTTTAGCTATGGCAGGAAACAAGAAACACCGGGAGAAAAATCCCATAGAGAACAGGTTGAGAACATACGTACAAACTCCACACAGTAAAGGTGCCCGAGTTGGGAATCGAACCCAGGCCCTTCTCGCTATGAACCACAAGCATTACCCACCGTCCCACCCAGCTCCTCCGATGAGTGCCCGTGCCTCCGATTAGCACGGTTGGCTACGTACGGTGCGAAAGAGGTTCAACGTAATACCGTACGTACATACTGCCACCCGTGACAGGCAGTATCTCTGATTTGCACCACCATCATCATCATCACCACCGTGCCAGGTCACTCAAGGGTTGAGATGTCACCTCAAGGTCTGAGATAACTGGACTGTAAGAAGGCTCACAAAGTTTTATTCCACGTGTGAGCTGCGGCCTTTGAGTCGGTGAGGTCTTAAAAAATTGTGCAACTGCGGTACGGGGAACAATGTCGGAGTTTCAAGCTGTGGTAGGAAACTAGAGAACCCAGGAGAAATCCCATAGAGGACTGGAGGAGAACACACAAACTCCACACAGAAAAGGTGCCCGATTCGGGACTCCAACCCAGGCCCTTCTTGCTATGATCCACAGGTGTTACCCACCGCGCCACCACGCACCCCCGATTAGCACAGTTGGCGAACGTACGGTGCGAAAGAAGTTCAACATACATACTGCCATCCGTGATGGGCAGTATCTCTGATTTGCATCATCATCATCATCATCACCACCGTGCCAGGTCACTCAAGGGTTGAGATTTCACCTCAAGGGCCGAGAACACTGCTCGCGAAGCACAGATTCCAGGCGTAAGCGTTTTCGGCCTTTGATTCGGTGAGGTCTTACAAATTGTGCAATTGGCAAAATTGTGACCAAGGTGCACTGCAGTTCAAGGAGCTTAGCAGAGCACTGGAGGAGGGGGGGGGGTTGGGGGAGGGGGCAAAGGTTCCAAAAAATATTGGGGGGGGGGGAAGGGAGGTCTGATTCCCGTTAACCACCCGAGATTGTGGGATACAGCCGCGGTGCAATGGTCATCGCAAGCCGGGCTCTCGCGATCCTAAAGGTAGCCGGTTCGATTTTGAAAAAATCCCGGCGCGGAAAGGGTGAACCAAATGGGTTGAGTTTCTTGAGTCCACCGCCCTCTTCTGCCTCTGTCCACCCCGCAGTTACTATCGATGGATACGGCACTGCTAGTTGGACTCGTGGGGTTGCGTGTGGTGGGGTAAAATGTGGGTCAATCCCACGTTTAAAAATGCTCCAGGCGGTGTGCAGTGACTATGGTCACCCAGAACAGGCCATGGAATATATAACAACTAAATTAAATTAAACTTGTTTTTTTTATTTTCCCAAGGTTAACAACCCCCACTGAGCTATATAACTCTTTTTCAGAAGCGACCTCGCTGTCACAAACGGCAGCTCAATTAAGTGGCTTGTCATTATGACGCGGATTATCATTTATAGCAGCCAAATACTCGTGAGTACGCGTGGTGACGTTGATTCTGAATGTGGAATGATAAACCGGAGGACCCGGAGAAAAATCCACGCGACCACGGGGAGAGAGAGAGAGAGACACCACAAACTCAAAATACACAGTCCACCTCTTCCAAGACGTCTGGGCCAGCATTGAAGAGCAGGCAAAATCACCCTCGAGAGGAGGCCCTTCCGCCAGCAGTGGCATGAGCAGGCAAGTAGCAGGGCTGCGCCTTTACCTCTTGCAATAGGGATTGGATGTGGAGGTGTGGGGAATGCATTACCTCTGTTGTTGAGGGGCATGTTGGGTGAACAGGTTATGCTCTGCATACGAAACGCCGCCTTGGGGCTGCCCAGCTCAAACTTGGAAAACTCAGACTTCCTCGTCCTGCCGAATGAAGACAACAACACCAACAACAACAACAAAAAATAACCGGCATTTTAGGTTCGACCGCGTCCGGGAAACGCGCACGCTTCAAGGTTTCACGGAGCGATACGTGGGGGGCACGTCGGCAAAACCAACGTGTGCCGAAGAGCGTTTCAATCGGCGGGTCGCTATGCACCCTGCCCCGAACGCGAACGGACCGGGAACGCGGGCAGCGCCCAAGAGGAAATGGGACAAAAGCTGCGACGGCTGTACCGAGGAACGCTTCTAAATTGCACTTCCGAGGCAGGAGGGCGAAACGTGGTAACGCGCGTACGCTTTGCCGGAGTTTAACGTGGCGGCGACTGAAGAAACGTCGCCTTTGGGAGGGACATGCCGGTAAAGCCGAGGTGGCAGCCTGGGGGGGTTGAAAGTGAAAAGCAGAGTGGTAGGGATAGTAGGGCACACACACACACATCCGAGTGTACTTCCATGGAGGTGTGTGTGTGTGTGTGTGCGTTGAACCTATTTCGCACCGGACGTAGCCAACCGTGCTAATCAGAGGTTGCGGGGTGGGGTGGGGGGGGAAGGACAACAAACCCGATGCGAAACGCGGCTCTAAACAAACGAGTTTATTCATCTAGATTGACGGGTGCGCACAGCTGCAGCGACATCCTAATGTCGAAAAGGAAGAGCGTTCCAGACGGCCGCGGACGCGCATCTGACAGCGCCGCGCGATGCCGGTGACCGCCGTCTTTGCTCGACGGCGGGCTAGACTAAAGCCGCCGCCGCCGCCGCCGCGATGACGGCCGGAGTTCGTGGAACGTGGAGACACGCACGCTTTGGTTGCTTGAACAGGGCACCTCGACACGGGCGGAAGAATCAACGAGTGAAATCCCATGGGAACAGCAGTGGAACAGCAAGCACCGGCGGTCGTGATACGCGGGTCATGAGGAGGCGGGGGCGTATAGCGAGGTAGCAACTGGGCGCTTCACGACAGAATAAATAGGCCATTGCTTTTTTGTGCGTGTCGACAATGGTTGATATCACTATACTTTTTTTTTTAAATCTAGAAAAGCCTCACCGAGCCTCGGGGCTAAGAGTTTACTTCAATAGCCAGGCAACAAATTGTATTTTTTTGTTTGTTTAAACCTTGCAAGATGGGATGGGCTCAGCGGAACGCGGGTTGTTATAACGCCCTAAATTGTCACCGCTCAGGTTCTGAGTCAGAATCTGTAATTTCGGGCCACCCGTGATTAACTTAGGAGTGAATCACAGAAAGCTGCGCCATCGATCAACCCCGACTTGACATTGCCGGCGCTATTGCCGGCGCGGTATTGCCGCCCGAAATAGCTGCGCTTTATCCCCTCTCCGCGGTAATTTGCAACGGCGACTCTTAAAGCTCTGTCGTCACGCTTCTAAAAGTATTATTGTTTTTTTTATCTACCGACTGCGCGTTCAAAAGTTATCTTTTCCGGAAACAAAGTTAAGGTTCGCCGTGCCACGTTTAACTCTGACGCAAGACTCGCAAGTCAAAGTTGGGCACGGAGAAAGAAGAAAAAAAAAACCTTACCTCACTTAAGTGTTGGGAAATATTTGTACAACTTAAGTGGCGGTTAATTTTCACTTTCCGAGCTGGGGGGTTATGCAAAGTAGATAATGTTCGCGCCCATTTACCGATTTCTATCTCTGCCACGTCCGCCTTACAGCGTTGACGACAGAGGCGGTGGCGGCATTGTGAGCTCGTTTATATCCACCGCTCCATAATAAAGGGGTTTTTTTTGGGTTAGATCGCATAAATATAAATGTGTCATTAAGCCTGCCACCACCTGACACAGCTAATTAGTAAGCGTTTGTCACGTAAACAAAACATGCCAATTCGTTACTAGTACAGCACACCGGTGTGTTGGAGATGATAGCCAAATGAAGTGGCTTATTGCGTGGAAATGTAAAGCAGCCAAGTACTCTAAACGCGTGATGCTTTGTTCTAAATGTGGAGGGAAAAACCGGAGGACCCAGAGAAAAATCCACACAACCACAGGCAGAGAGACAGAGAGACGCAAACTCCAAATATACAGCAGCAGGCGTCAGGGTCAGGATCGAACCCACGACCTCCTGCTTACCAGGCGAGGTGGTTAACATCTCCTAGCCACCGTGATGAGAGAGACACGCAAACTCCAAATATACAGCAGGCGTCAGGGTCGGGATCGAACCCACGACCTCCTGCTTACCAGGCGAGGTAGTTAACATCTTGCCGACGCTGCATCCTGAATGGAAAAACAGGACCAAAGGGGGTCAGGAGAGATGAGGATGGAGAGAAAGAGGCCGCATCAGGGCCGCGACACCGATGCTGCTTGCTGCACGGAGGAGGAGCAGCGGAGTCTGTTTTCACAGTGGGCGGCGGCAACGGGGGAGAGGGGCGTGGCCTCACCCACGCAGAAGGTCAATCGTGATTTACGGGGAGGCTTGGAAGACGATTTCCAGAGAGAGATTTACCCTCGGTTGAGCATGGGAGAAGACGGCGTGCAGTAAACTTGCTTGACTTCTTCTGCAACGGCAAGAGCACGGGGATCGTTACCGCATGGTGCGAAACGTCGCGATGGAAACGTTTGCAAGCTCAGGCCCCACCTCAGGGAGGGTCGATTCCTTATAGGGGAAACACATACTAATTAACCGATTACTAACGTAGCATATAATTACAATAACACACATTACAACTAATTACTAATCTACAACTCATTACTAATCATAACAATTGACTGATTACCAATCTATTGTAATATAATTACAATACCTTCTGCCTCAAATCACTGCACCTGAATGAGTTAAATGATGACGTCACCCTGCTGCTCTATTTAAGAACGGGAGCAAGTGAGGGCTTCACCATTCTGGCGAATTGCCCGATGATGCTGGATGTAATTACCAGCGAAACGTCGTACTCAAAAATTGAAAATGTTGTGGATTCACTCTTCAACACACCGGTGGGCTAAAGTAGTGAACTATTTGTCTTTTGTCAACGTGACATATTTTTTACTGTTTGGCCGTGTCGGGTGGTGGAGGGTTACGACACATTTATAAATAATAATGCAATTTATAACGCGCGCAAATTTGCGGACGTAATAGCCGCAACTCAGAGGCGCGGAGCCAAGCTCAGAGTCGCTCGAATAACGCGATCTAACCCAAAAAACCTTTATTATGAATAATATTGGTCGCGAAAGCCTACGTGTTAAACTCAATACACCTGCCTGTATCTCACCCCCCCCCCCCTTCCACCAGACTGGACAAAACAAAGGAACCCCTTCGTCGGCAAGTCGACGGCGTGGGCTGCCGTCAAACGGCACACGCGTGTACAGAAGCAAAAGAAAGACGTCGGTAGTTTTCCAACGAAGTGCACTCTTGCTCCTCAAGAGTGCACTTCGGGGTCGAACCCACGACCTCCTGTTTCCCAGGCAAGGTAGTCAACATCTCCTGGCCACCCCTATGGGGACATCCCGCGGAGAGGCGAGGTAGTCAACATCTCCTGGCCACGCCTATGGGGACATCCCGCGGAGAGGCAAGGTAGTCAACATCTCCTGGCCACCTCTATGGGGACATCCCACGGAGAGGAGAGGTAGTCAACATCTCCTAGCCACCCTGAAGCGATGCCCTGGGCACGTGGGTCCGCGAGCGACGGGGTGCGTTGTCGCACCTTTGCAGGCCTGCAGCTGCATGGTGAGCAGCTTCCGTATCTCGCTCACCCACGCAGACTTCTCTTCGTTGGACGGGGCCTGCGGGCACAACAGCAACGCACCCATTGGCAGTAACGCACCATTGGTAGTGACACCTTTAATAGTAACACAACATTGGCAGTGACACACCAAAGGCATTCCTCAAAGACACTGGTGGAAGCATTAACCGCATCAGAACATCTACAACCAGGCCAATGCCCCCGCATCTCCTGCATACGTTGCAAATTCGAGACACAAGCCGCAGTCCATAATATAGTTTTTTTGGGCTAGATCGCGGAAATATAATTGTTATGTCGATAAACCCACCACCACCCGACACAGCCAGGGATTAAAGATCTGTCACGCTGTACGGCATGTACACTAAACACGGGGAATGGCTTTACAAGTTGTATAATCTCCTGTAGATGTGGATGCCACTGGGTCTTCACGTTCTGGAGATGTAGATGCCACTGGTTCTTAATGTTCTGCAGATGTAGATGCCACTGGTTCTTCACGTTCTGCAGATGTAGATGCCACTGGTTCTTCACGTTCTGCAGATGTAGATGCCACTGGCTCTTCACGTTCTGTAGATGTAGATGCCACTGGTTCTTCACGTTCTATAGATGTGGATACCACTGGTTCTTCACGTTCTGTAGATGTAGATGCCACTGGTTCTTCGTGTTCTGCAGATATAGATGCCACTGGTTCTTCACGTTCTGCAGATATAGATGCCACTGGTTCTTCACGTTCTGCAGATGTAGATGCCACTGGTTCTTCACGTTCTGCAGATGTAGATGTCACTGGTTCTTCACGTTCTGCAGATGTAGATGCCACTGGTTCTTCACGTTCTGCAGATGTAGATGCCACTGGTTCCTTATGTTCTGTAGATGTAGATGCCACTGGTTCTTCACGTTCTGCAGATGTAGATGCCACTGGTTCTTCACGTTCTGCAGATGTAGATGTCACTGGTTCTTCACGTTCTGCAGATGTAGATGCCACTGGTTCTTCACGTTCTGCAGATGTAGATGCCACTGGTTCCTTATGTTCTGTAGATGTAGATGCCACTGGTTCTTCACGTTCTGCAGATGTAGATGCCACTGGTTCTTCACGTTCTGCAGATGTAGATGCCACTGGTTCTTCACGTTTTGCAGATGTAGATGCCACTGGTTCTTCACGTTCTGCAGATGTAGATGCCACTGGTTCCTTATGTTCTGTAGATGTAGATGCCACTGGTTCTTCACGTTCTGCAGATGTAGATGCCACTGGTTCTTCACGTTCTGCAGATGTAGATGCCACTGGTTCTTCACGTTCTGCAGATGTAGATGTCACTGGTTCTTCACGTTCTGCAGATGTAGATGCCACTGGTTCTTCACGTTCTGCAGATGTAGATGCCACTGGTTCCTTATGTTCTGTAGATGTAGATGCCACTGGTTCTTCACGTTCTGCAGATGTAGATGCCACTGGTTCTTCACGTTCTGCAGATGTAGATGTCACTGGTTCTTCACGTTCTGCAGATGTAGATGCCACTGGTTCTTCACGTTCTGCAGATGTAGATGCCACTGGTTCCTTATGTTCTGTAGATGTAGATGCCACTGGTTCTTCACGTTCTGCAGATGTAGATGCCACTGGTTCTTCACGTTCTGCAGATGTAGATGCCACTGGTTCTTCACGTTTTGCAGATGTAGATGCCACTGGTTCTTCACGTTCTGCAGATGTAGATGCCACCACCGCCATATATTGCGCGGCGGTTGAACTTACGACTCTCGATCCGAACAGGCAACTGGACATGCGGACCAGGTTTGTTCCCGTCTGTGAAAGTTCGTAAGGCCATTTTTGTTCGCAAGTCGAGGAGAGTCCCTGTACACAGTCCTTTTTGTGTGGGCACCCGCGCCACCTGCTGGACTATCCACAAGCTACCCGAGTGAGTTGCCATCCGCGGGCACTAACGGGGCAGGGGTCCTCGTTAAGCGCGATTCACGGCCCTTCTCTGCCCTATTCGAGGAACGCTTTTCGCACAGCGTGGAAAAAGGCGTGCCGTCGTGACGTGGTTTCTGAAGCGGTCGACTTTCGGACTACATCTATCATCACGGCACCTCCCACGGCGATAAATGCAGACATTGATTCCTTGCAAAAAGGTTGCAGTTTGGTGTTTTAACATCTCAACACAACTGCTTTATTGCCAGAAAGGGTAAAACCTATTGTTATATTTTGATAGTGGCAAGGGAGGTCCCCACGATGTAGCTGCTCACCGCGAGCTCTCAAAGCCCTGATAGTGGCATTGTCCTTGTGCTGTTCGCCTTTTGGCATCGTCCTCTGGTCTGACACCGCTTGAGACGAGGCTCTACAGTAAGTTGTCTCTGGGTGTGGACCAATCAGTTTCAAAGACGATGCATCATCATAGACTACCAGAGCGTGTTTTTTGTATATGTGGTTAATGCAGGCATGATTTCCCTGCAAAAGGTTTCCGTTTGGTGTTTAAACATCTTAACAACTGTTTTATTGCCAGAAATGGTAAAACCTATTCTTATATTCTCATACGAACTACTTTCTTGAAGTCAAGATCCGATTAGCACGGTTGGCTACGTACGGCGGGAAGGAAGTTCCACGTACGTACATAAATTCAAGGTTCGGTTCTCATTGGCTTGTTTGTACCATGTCACGCGTGAGGCGCACACAAACAAAAACGCCCACGTGTAGCCTTCACAGACTGTTGGGGCCAGTGCTGTAAGCGAGTAGCACCTATGAAGGCCGGCACGGCACACGAGGGGGTGGGTATACAAGCACCACGCCCGACCGCCGTTGTCTCCACACACCTCACCAGGTACTCATTTGAGGCTGGGTCGACCAAGGGGAGGCCTAGAACCGGTTCAGATAACCGTCACCGGCGTTGGCCGTGAGCGGGAATGGAACCCGGGTCACCGGGATCGTGGCGCAATGCAGCGCTAACCGCTGCACCACCGCTCCCCACACACACGCACGCGCGGAGGCATCGGCAGTGTTAAAAAACCACGCAGACCCTAGCCACGAGTCGATCCCATCGCGCGGCGTGGCTCACCTGGATGATGTAGACTTGCTCCCGCCGTGAACACCAGATCTCAAACTTGCGGCTGTCCCCGCGCACGTTCTCCGTGATCCCCACGGAGCTCATCTGCACCGCGCGCCGCGACGGAGTGACAGGGAGACTCATCGCTCATCGTCGCGAAATCGCAGCCAGGACGGAGGAGCAAGGGGATGGAGGGCGGGGGGGGGGGGGTCCTGGGAGCCAGGGGTCAGCACCGGTCAGGGGGCCCCGATGTGGATGTACCTTAAAGCTATGTGCGCACTTTCAAATCATCTAGAGCAGTGGCTCTTGACCTTGCAACCCTTTGTCACTCAATCGTTAAAACACAATGTGCAACGTTAACAACTGCGCAGGGTTTGATGGAACGTAGTGAGTTGCGGCTTAGGTTGCCCGCGCTTAATTTGTGTTTTCGATGATTTGCGTTCTAAAATGATCTGGCCGCGTCTCGCACCCCCAGGGAGTGCAATGCACCCCAGGTTAGGAAGAACCACTGATCTAGATTGAAAACGCATTTCTTTAGAACTGATATTTGTGTTCAGTTTGTTGTCCACCCCCCCCCCCCCCCTGCACACATCCGAATAGCGCAGTTGGCTACGTAAAGCGTGAAAGAAGTTCAACATACATAGAGTCACAGAGGGACCCATAGACTCACACGGAGACCCACAGACTCACACGGAGACCCACAGACTCACACAGAGAACCATAGACTCACACAGAGACCCACAGACTCACAGTGACCCACAGACTCACACAGAGAACCATAGACTCACACAGAGACCCACAGACTCACACAGAGACCCATGGACTCACACAGAGACCCATCGACTCACACAGAGACCCACACACTCACGCAGAGACCCACAGACTCACACAGAGACCCATAGTTTGCTGCCCTTCCCACGCACCTCAGATTAGCACGGTTGGCTACGTATGGTGAGAAAGAAGTTCAGCACACTCCTATGCTGCCTTCCATTGTGTCACGGAAACACACAGAGCCAGGGCAAGAGAGGCCGTCGGAATTTCTGGCCTCACTGGCGAAACTTTCAGCGCCCACTCGCCGATTGGGGGGGGGGCGAGGGGGGGGCGAGGGGGGGGGGCGAGGGGGGGGGGCGAGGGGCGGGTGAGGGGGGGGCGAGGGGGGGGCGAGGGGGGGGGCGAGGGACTTGGCACCTGCAGCGAGTGCTTGTAGCCGTAGGAGGGCGTCTTCTCGTAGCCCTCGGTCGTCTCCTCGCGCCGCTTGCAGAAGAGCAGCGTCTTCTCGTAGAGGAAGACGTGCCGCTGCATGGGCTTGAAGCGCGGGAAGTCCTTCACCTTGTTGGCGCCCTTCTTGTGGTCGGTCCACACGCTGAAGGAGCCCTGCATCAGCAGCTTGCCCAGCTCCAGGAGGTTTCCCTGCGGCGGAGGGCACGCGAGGCTCCGTCGCCGTATATTCCGGTTCGTCGTTCAACAATCGCGAATCGCAATCCTTGTGCTAGGCCGCGGGGGGATATCCCGGCGAGCTTCCTGGAAGCGTTTTGTTTTTCCACTTCACGGACGGCCCCTCCTCTGGTGTAGTCATCGTCGTCGTCGTCATCAAAACTGCCGTCGTCAACATCACCATCACCATCATCAACATCATCACCATCATCAACATCATCAACATCATCGTCATCACTATGATCACCATCATCACCATCATCACCGTCACTAAAATCTCCGTCACCGGCATCACCGTCATCGACATCAATGTCGACAGGGCAAGCTCCATTGCCATGACTCTCAAAAAAAAAAGCCGAAGTGATTTGCCACTCAAACCGGCGCTCAGGAGCCGGCGCTCAATAACGAGCGTGCACCTTGTATCCGGTGATGGAAATCTGGTGCATGGAGTCGTTGAGGGATTTGAGGAGGCTCTGCATGCTGGCCAGGGCCTCCTCCAGCTCCAGGGCGTGCTGCACGTCCTTGGTGCCCTTCAGGAGCTCCTGCACCGTCGCAGCACCAAGCACACACACACACACCACACACCGGCGCGGAGATGGGTGGGTGGAGGGGGGACGTCACGCCCTCCTCGTCGTCATCGTCGTCATCAACATCATCGTCATCGTCGCCGTCGTCATCGTCATGATCGTCGTCGTCATCGACGTCGTTATCATCGTCGACGTCATCGTCGACGTCATCGTCGACGTCATCGTCGTCATCGTCGTCGTCGTCACCGTCGATGTCACCATCATCAAAGTAATCGTCATCGTTGCCGTCATCGCCGTCGATGTCGTCATCGTCATGGACGTCATCATCGTCGACGTCGTCATCGTCATGGACGTCATCATCGTCGACGTCGCCGTCATCATCGACGTCATCGACATCATCATCGCCGTTGTTGTTGTTGTTGCCGTCGTCGCTGATGCCGGCACCACCGGTCGTGCCGCCGGAGACGACCATCGCCAAATACCGAACCATTCCCCACCGCCTCCTTGTAAAGGAAATTATCCAACTTCTATTGCAGCTGCTGCTACTTGACAGTAATAAAAGTATATATCAAGAGCTTTTAATCCACTGCTGGATGAAGGCCTCCACACGCTTTGTCCGGTGACGAGTGGGTTTGGGTGGGGTTCGTTTTGACCATAATTCACCTCGTCGGCCAGCGCCGGACGGCGACACGTCTAAGCCACGTCTGGGAATCGAACTCAGATGCCCGGGTTCAAAGCGCGGCAGTCAAGCGACCACCACGAACCCCGCGACGGTGCGGGGGGGGGGGGAGGGGTGGGAGAAGCGGCCCCCTCATCCAGCAGTGGATTGACAAAAAGGTTGCTTTGCAGTGGACATCTCGGACACCTGCGCAAACCTGCCGGGCATCCGTGAAAGCGACCGGACGTCTGTGAGAGACAGAGAGAGAGAGAAAGAGAGAGGGGAAAAACAAAAAAATCTTCAGCCTAAAGCAAAGATCTCCCGATCGCGATTTCTGCGCGGCCGCCGCCCTCGTCCTCGTCGTCTGCGATCGGTCGCGGTGGAGGAACGCCGGGAAGTGGGGGAGGGGGGGGGGAGGGTCAAGCAACACGGGGGGGGAGGAGAGGGCCGGACCTTAAGTAGCAGCTGGTAGCGGGTGATGCGCTGCACGGGCTTCAGGAGGTACGAATCCAGCGCCAGCTTGTGGCCGAGCTTCTTCTGACATTCCTGCGGCAGACGAACGGCGCGCGCGGTGTTTGGCACGCGCACAGCGACGGAAAAAAACAAAAAGGAGGGACCGCTCCCCTCCCTCCCTCCACCTCCACCGCCACGATGGACAGCCGGCACAGCAGGTTGGGGGGGGGGGCGAGTGCCGTATTGTGTGGATCGTTCGGCGCTCCCGGACGGCAAGAAACCCCCGGAACTCGTGCCCGGCGTCAATAAAGTTGGGACAATTCTGGTCGTACACACGCGCGCACACGCACTCGCACACACGCCACAGACACGCGTGCACACGCGCACAGCTACCCGATTATCAGACTCACACACGACCTTTTAATGCAAAATACGGGGGAATGAATTGCGTCCGGTAATCCGCAGAATGTGCGGTCACTTTGGCGAGCTGCAGCCCAGCCATTGCGGGTTCACGGGACGCGCAGACGAAGATTCCCCCGTGAAACCTTTAACAGACTGTCGCGGCAAGTGCTGTTAAGCGCGAGCACATGTTAAGACCCGTACTGCCCAAGAGGGTGTGTGGGTGGCCAGCACCACGCCCGGCCGCCTTTGTCTCCCCAATTTTGATGTTTACACAGAGCATGAACGCCTCATTTAAGGCCGAGTCGACCCAGGGGAGGCCCAGGATCGGTCCACACATTCGTCGCCGACGTTGGCTGCGGGCGTAGCAGCTGGTGCAGCGCGTAAACCGCGACACCACAGCTTCTCGCACACACACGTGCTCAACGCACACACACACACACGTGCTCAACGCGCGCACACACACACTTGCTCAACGCACGCGCGCACACACACACACACGCACGTGCTCAACGCGCACACACACACACGCGCTCAACGCACACACACACACGTGCTCAACGCGCACACACACACACGCGCTCAACGCACACACACACACACACACGTGCTCAACGCGCACACACACACACACGCGCGCAACGCACACACACACACACACACGCTCAACGCACACACACACACGCGTGCAACGCGCACACACACACACACGCGGTCAACGCACACACACACACACACCTGGAAGAATGGCGCATCGGAGATTTGTCTCCACAGCGTCTCGGACTGCGGCTTGTTCTGGCAGTACTTCTCGTAGATGCGGAAATCTTCCTTCTGCTCACGCACGCGGGACGCGGCGGAGAGGGCAACGGATTCTCTCCCGCGCAACCAAAACTTGCGATCGCGTCACACCGTTGCCGATCGCGTCACACCATTGTCGATCGCGTCACACCGTTGCCGATCGCGTCACACCGTTGCCGATCGCGTCACACCGTTGTCGATCGCGTCACACCGTTGCCGATCGCGTCACACCGTTGTCGATCGCGTCACACCGTTGTCGATCGCGTCACACCGTTGTCGATCGCGTCACACCGTTGTCGATCGCGTCACACCGTTGTCGATCGCGTCACACCGTTGTCGATCACGTCACACCGTTGCTGCTACGCTCGTGGCGACCATTGTGGCCCTGTAGACCCCAAAGGCTTGGTGACAAGGTTTCAGGCAGATCGTGGGCCAAGTAAAAACGATGCATCGGGCCGATTCTCCGAGATAATAAATAAAAAAAAGTAAAAAGCTCACCCCCCTCTCTGCCCCCCCCCAGCCCCCCTCTCGTACAACACCTGAAATAAGTTCGCAGGATGGAGGGTCGGGAGGCAGGCACCAAGGACTAAGAGGCCATAACCACGGCAAGACTAGACGGGGAGCCGGATCCGGTGGGGTGGAAAGAAAAACAATTGCTCGTTGAGGTCGCCTCTCGTGTTTTTATTTTCTTAACGCCAGCCGTGATTTGGTTATACCCCTCACTCCTCTTGTCATCCCTTCCCCCTTATTATTAATATTATTATCACAACAAAAAGTGACCGTATCCCCCTGATCGGTGGGACCCACCTTGTATGGTTTGGGGGCAGTGAGCCTGCTTCCCCTATCTTTCTACACCCCCCTGCTTTTCATAACGGGCTTGGCTTCATGTTGACGGTGTGCGTGCGTGCGTGCATGACCACGTGATGAAATCGGGCCTGTACATTGCCTAAAAAAAAAGCCAATATTTTTTTTTAAAGCAAAGCAAAAAGCAGCTCAGTCACCTGGCTATCTGCAAAACGTGCCGATGGCACTGCAGGGTGTTGGACATCGAGCCCCGATTAAAACGACGGCATTTCTTTGAGGTTTAACCGGGGCGTGTGGCGAGAGATAATGTAGTCACTAAACCACTGATAATGTAGTTACTACACCACTGGTAATGTAGTCACTACACCACTGATAATGTAGTTACTACACCACTGGTAATGTAGTTACTACACCACTAATAATGTAGTTACTACATCACTGATAATGTAGTTACTACGTCACTGATAATGTAGTCACTATGCCACTGATAATGTAGTCACTACACCACTGATAATGTAGTTACTGCACCACTGATAATGTAGTCACTACACCACGGATAATGTAGTCACTACACCACTGAAAATATAGTCACTACACCACTTATAATGTAGTTACTACGCCACTGATAATGTAGTTACTACACCACAGATAATGTCGTTACTACGCCACTGATAATGTAGTTACTACACCACTGATAATGTAGTTACTACTCCACTGATAATGTAGTTACTACGCCACTGATAATGTAGTTACTACACTACTGATAATGTAGTTACTACACCACTGATAATGCAGTTACTACATCACTGATAATGTAGTTACTACACCACTGATAATGTAGTTACTACACCACTGATAATGTAGTCACTACGCCACTGATAATGTAGTCACTACACCACTGAAAATATAGTCACTACACCACTTATAATGTAGTTACTACACCACTGATAATGTAGTTACTACACCACAGATAATGTCGTTACTACGCCACTGATAATGTAGTTACTACACCACTGATAATGTAGTTACTACTCCACTGATAATGTAGTTACTACGCCACTGATAATGTAGTTACTACACCACTGATAATGTAGTTACTACATCACTGATAATGTAGTTACTACACCACTGATAATGTAGTTACTACGCCACTGATAATGTAGTTACTACGCCACTGATAATGTAGTTACTACGCCACTGATAATGTAGTTACTACGTCACTGATAATGTAGTTACTACGCCACTGATAATGTAGTTACTACACCACTGATAATGTAGTCACTACGTCACTGATAATGTAGTTACTACACCACTGATAATGTAGTTACTACGTCATTGATAATGTAGTTACTACGCCACTGATAATGTAGTTATTACGCCAATGATAATGTAGTCACTACACCACTGATAATGTAGTTACTACACCACTGATAATGTAGTTACTACACCACTGCTAATGTAGTTACTACGCCACTGATAATGTAGTCACTACGTCACTGATAATGTAATTACTACACCACTGATAATGTAGTTACTACACCACTGATAACGTAGTTACTACACCACTGATAATGTAGTTACTACGCCACTGATAATGTAGTTACTACACTACTGATAATGTAGTCACTACACCACTGATAATGTAGTTACTACGCCACTGATAATGTAGTTACTACACCACTGATAATGTAGTTACTACGTCACTGATAATGTAGTTACTACGTCACTGATAATGTAGTTACTACACCACTGATAATGTAGTTACTACGCCACTGATAATGTAGTTACTACGCCACTGATACTGTAGTCACTACACCACTGATAATGTAGTTACTACACCACTGATAATGTAGTTACTAAACCACTGATAATGTAGTTACTACACTACTGATAATGTAGTCACTACATCACTGATAATGTAGTTACTACACCATTGATAATGTAGTTACTACGCCACTGATAATGTAGTTACTACGCCACCGCCTTACCCGCTTCAGGTAGCAACTCCCAACCTCTTCCGGCCGCTCCGTGTAATCCTCCAGCTCCTTGAGAAAGACACTGCAACAGCAGCAGCGCGGAGCTCCGTTAGTAAGCACCTCCTCGCGGAACGCGTCCACTAAGCTTGATTACATTGTGGGACCTCCTTTGCCAGTATCAACATATAAGAATAGATCCATAATGAAGGGTTTTTTTGGGTCAGATCGCATAAATATGTAAATGTGTCGTTAAAACCGCCACCACCGGACACAGCCAACTAGTAAGGTTTGTCGCGTAAACAGAACGAGGTCAATTCGTTACTAGTACAGCACTAGTGTATAGTATAGTGTACAGTGTAGTAGTGTATAGTATAGTGCAGGGGTCGGAAACCTTTTTGGCTGAGAGAGCCATGAAAGCCACATATTTTAAAATAAATTTCCGTGAGAGCCATATACTATTTTTTAACACTGAATACAACTAAAGAAATGTCAGCTAAGATTTATTTGCGAGCCAGATGCAGTCATCAAAAGAGCCACATCTGGCTCACGAGCCATAGGTTGCCGACCCCTGGTATAGTGTATAGTATAGTAGTATATAGTGTAGTTTATAGTGTAGTAGTGTAGTGTGTAGTATACTAGTACAGCACACCGGTTGTGTGTTTGAGAGCCAAGCCACAACATTTACAAACTGAGTACGACGTTTCGCCAGTTATTACAACCCAGCTTTATCAGGCGACAGCCAGATTTGTGAAGTCCTCCTCTTTCGTTCCTTATATAGAGGCGTAGATGTGGTGACCACACATTTACACATTCACGCGATCTAACCCAAAACCTCTATTGTGGATGATATTGGTCGCGAAAACATACGTGTTAAATAAAAGAATAGGTTTTACGCTTTCTGGCAATAAAACGGTTAAGACGTTAAAACACCAAACAGAAACCTTTCGCAAAGAATCATATCTGCATTAACCACGCATACTTGTGGTGAGCATGCAAACAAAAAAAACATGCTCTGGTCATAAACGCCAGAAAGGGTAAAACCTATTTTTATAAACTTGATGAGAAAACCCAGCTCTCTCTCTTCCGTGCATCGGAAACCTCCCAGTATGCATGTCAACGTTGGCAATCGGTTGGAACCGTTGGACCAACGTTGGTTGAACGTTGGTTGAACGTTGGACCAACATTGGCAATCGGTTGGAACCGTTGGGCCAACGTTGGGCCAACGTTGGCAATCGGTTAGAACCGTTAGACCCAACGTTTGATGTTCTCTGGGTCAGCGCAAATGCAAGGGGGGTTGAGATGTGTATCTATCATCAGCTCTTACCGTCTTATTCCTTCATTGTCACCAACTCGTATAACCATTGCATAAACTCTTACGAGGCAACAATCAAATTGCAGAGGGTACATTGTTTTGTTACAAAACACCAAACGTCTTGTATTTCATACATTTCAACTGTTGGCCGTACGTGCAAACTGCATTATATGTTAAGCGCTCCGGGGCACCTTTATTTATAAGCGGAGGTGTAACTATACTGATTTTAGGACGAGTCAACCGAGGGGAGGCCCAAGCCAGGTTCATATAGGAACTGCCACAGGTGCCGTGCATCCCGGCCATGGCTGTGGATCATTTGCAGCGGGGCAAAGAAGGCAAGCATGAAAAAGCGTTCATCCAGCAGTGGACGGAGAATGGCTCCACCACCTGCTGTGGAAGTGGTAGATGTCGGCCATGTTGCCGAACAGCACGTCCTTCTTCTCCCTGGCGCCGGCGGGGACGGGCGCCGCCATCTCCTCCGTCTCCATGGCGTCCGCGTAGCCCTGGACCACCCCCACCCGGCACAAACAGGAAGTGACATCGTCACTCTCATCTCCGTCCAAAACTTTCTGCTAGGCTTGGTAACAATAATTTTTTATAGATTTTTTTTGTATTTCAATAGGAGCCCGATGCGGAGCATGAACTGCGACGCAAAAAGGGGGTAGGCTACAGAAAAATCCTTCCCCCCCACACCTCCGATTAGCACGGTTGGCCACGTACATGGCAAAATAAGTTCAACATACATACAGACTCACACAGAGACCCATAGACTCACACAGAGATCCAAAGACTCACGCAGAGACCCATAGACTCACAGAGACCCATAAACTCACACAGAGATCCATAGACTCACAGAGACCCATAGAATCACACAGAGACCCATAGAATCACACAGAGACCGATAGACTCACGCAGAGACCCATAGACTCACACAGAGATCCAAAGACTCACGCAGAGACCCATAGACTCACAGAGACCCATAAACTCACACAGAGACCCATAGACTCACAGAGACCCATAGAATCACACAGAGACCCATAGACTCACACAGAGACCCATAGACTCACACAGAGACCCACAGACTCACACAGAGACCCACAGACTCACACAGAGACCCATAGACACTCACAGAGACCCATAGACTCACAGAGACCCATAGACTCACACAGAGACCCACAGACTCACACAGAGACCCATAGACTCACACAGAGACCCATAGACTCACACAGAGACCCACAGACTCACACAGAGACCCACAGACTCACACAGAGACCCATAGACTCACACAGAGACCCATAGACTCACACAGAGACCCACAGACTCACGCAGAGACCCACAGACTCACACAGAGACCCACAGACTCACACAGAGACCCATAGACTCACATAGAGACCCATAGACTCACACAGAGACCCACAGACTCACACAGAGACCCACAGACTCACACAGAGACCCATAGACTCACACAGAGACCCATAGACTCACACAGAGACCCACAGACTCACGCAGAGACCCACAGACTCACACAGAGACCCACAGACTCACACAGAGACCCATAGACTCACATAGAGACCCATAGACTCACACAGAGACCCATAGACTCACACAGAGACCCATAGACTCACACAGAGACCCATAGACTCACACAGAGACCCATAGACTCACACAGAGACCCATAGACTCACATAGAGACCCATAGACTCACATAGAGACCCATAGACTCACACAGAGACCCATAGACTCACATAGAGACCCACAGACTCACACAGAGACCCATAGACTCACACAGAGACCCACAGACACACAGAGACCCACAGACACACAGAGACCCATAGACTCACACAGAGACCCACAGACTCACACAGAGACCCATAGACTCACACAGAGACCCATACACTCACACAGAGACCCATAGACACTCACACAGAGACCCATAGACTCACACAGAGACCCATAGACACTCACACAGAGACCCATAGACTCACACAGAGACCCATAGACTCACACAGAGACCCATAGACTCACACAGAGACCCACAGACTCACACAGAGACCCATAGACTCACACAGAGACCCACAGACTCACACAGAGACCCACAGACTCACACAGAGACCCATAGACTCACATAGAGACCCACAGACTCACACAGAGACCCACAGACTCACACAGAGACCCATAGACTCACACAGAGACCCATAGACTCACACAGAGACCCATAGACTCACACAGAGACCCATAGACTCACACACAGACCCACAGACTCACACAGAGACCCATAGACTCACACAGAGACCCATAGACTCACATAGAGACCCATAGACACTCACACAGAGACCCATAGACTCACACAGAGACCCATAGACTCACACACAGACCCACAGACTCACACAGAGACCCATAGACTCACACACAGACCCATAGACTCACATAGAGACCCATAGACTCACACAGAGACCCATAGACTCACACAGAGACCCATAGACTCACACAGAGACCCATAGACTCACACAGAGACCCATAGACTCACACAGAGACCCATAGACTCACATAGAGACCCACACACTCACACAGAGACCCATAGACTCACATAGAGACCCATAGACTCACACAGAGACCCATAGACTCACACAGAGACCCATAGACACTCACACAGAGACCCATAGACTCACACAGAGACCCATAGACTCACACAGAGACCCATAGACTCACACAGAGACCCATAGACTCACATAGAGACCCATAGACTCACACACAGACCCATAGACTCACACAGAGACCCACAGACTCACACAGAGACCCACAGACTCACACAGAGACCCATAGACTCACACAGAGACCCATAGACTCACATAGAGACCCATAGACTCACACAGAGACCCATAGACTCACACAGAGACCCATAGACTCACATAGAGACCCATAGACACACAGAGACCCATAGACTCACATAGAGACCCATAGACTCACACAGAGACCCATAGACTCACATAGAGACCCATAGACACACAGAGACCCATAGACTCACATAGAGACCCATAGACTCACACAGAGACCCATAGACTCACATAGAGACCCATAGACACACAGAGACCCATAGACACTCACACAGAGACCCATAGACTCACATAGAGACCCATAGACACACAGAGACCCATAGACACTCACACAGAGACCCACAGACTCACACACAGACCCATAGACTCACATAGAGACCCATAGACTCACATAGAGACCCACAGACTCACATAGAGACCCATAGACTCACATAGAGACCCATAGACTCACATAGAGACCCATAGACTCACATAGAGACCCACAGACTCACATAGAGACCCATAGACTCACATAGAGACCCATAGACTCACATAGAGACCCATAGACTCACATAGAGACCCATAGACTCACATAGAGACCCATAGACTCACATAGAGACCCACAGACTCACATAGAGACCCATAGACTCACATAGAGACCCATAGACTCACATAGAGACCCATAGACTCACATAGAGACCCATAGACTCACACAGAGACCCATAGACTCACACAGAGACCCACAGACTCACACAGAGACCCACAGACTCACACAGAGACCCATAGACTCACAGAGACCCATAGACTCACACAGAGACCCACAGACTCACACAGAGACCCATAGACTCACATAGAGACCCATAGACTCACATAGAGACCCATAGACTCACATAGAGACCCATAGACTCACATAGAGACCCATAGACTCACACAGAGACCCATAGACTCACACAGAGACCCACAGACTCACACAGAGACCCACAGACTCACACAGAGACCCATAGACTCACAGAGACCCATAGACTCACACAGAGACCCACAGACTCACACAGAGACCCATAGACTCACATAGAGACCCATAGACTCACATAGAGACCCATAGACTCACATAGAGACCCATAGTTTGTTGTCTTTCCCCCGCGCCTCTGATTACGGTTGGCCATGTACATAAATCCGTGGACCTCAGTCCCAAACACTACACATCTGGGTGTAAAGCAAGGCGGGGGGGGGGGGGGGAAGTAATAATAAAATGTTAATTTATAAAGCCCCTTAAACAATCGTTCTCAGGGCGCTTTGCATGGAAACGCGGAAAACATTTAACATCAACCAAGTAAAGACGAAGAGAGAAAGACGTTTGAAAATAACTAAAGCCATTTTAAACAGTGGGCTGGCCGCCCCGGCTTGCCAACAATCCTCAAACGACGAACAAAACTGCGCGTGCGCATGGAGTGCGGAGTGCTCTCCGACATGGGTCTTTGTAGGTGACAACAAGTTGCGGTACGGAAGCCGGTGGGTAGCTGCCAGGACAAAATGCATATCGTCAGCGACGCCACAATCCTCCAAGCAGGATCTGACCTACCGAGGAAGATCCTGGTCCTCCTCGAGTCGGAATCCGGACGCTCCGTGGAAGATGTGGGAAACGTTCCCCACGCATGGAAAATCTAACGAGAGTCCAGCTCGTGGCGGTGGTGGTGGTGGTGCGACATCTCAAGACGGTGAACGACCGCTCCAATCGAATCATTTAAAGGGGGGGGGGCGATCCGAAACAAATCCACGCGGCTGCTCCCCTGAAGCAGTCGGAACGCGAATATCGAACCTTGACATCGATTTGCAATCCCCACAAATGCCGTACAAAGGAAGAAGGGGAAAACATGCATTTGCACATTTCCAAACCGCTATTTTTTTTCTCGTTTGAGCCCCTATTTTTGTTTTTGGCCAACGCTTTGATTCGCGTGGCCCGGTTTTTCAAGAGGTCCAGTCCTTAACAGCAACACGCAGAAATATTTACTAAAGCCGTGTTCACATTGGATAACGGTTATAGGCGTCATCAGTGACTGCCACCCAAGACACTCCCCTGCCCTTTACCAACGGACGGACGGACCAAACGCATAAATAAACACCTTGCTTGGAAAGCATTAAAAATACTTTAAAGTTGCAGTCAAGCTTGTCGTCATGGCCCCCTGTTGATGCCCCCCCCCCTCCTCCCCCGCCATCAACGATGTCGCTCGCGCAATGGCGGCAAAGCTTGAGGGCTGCCCCTCGAAAGCCCCCCGGTTGGTGCAAGCTCATCGATCGACGCGAGGGGACGTTCGTCTCTGTGGTCACTGTTACGTTGCAATTATGGCTGGATTTTTTGGTGATTTCGAAAACGTCTTTTTGGTTTGGACGTGTTTGTTTTGTTGTAGTACGGAGTTAGACTGATGGCCTTAATCTAGGTTTTCTTGTGGTTGTTGTTTGACTTGCATCCCACTGGGATTTTTTGCACACAGCGTTGGTGTACGGTGCTTTTTTCAGGAATATTTTGCTGGGTTTTTTTCATGGATTTTCTGTTTGCACAGTCACACATAGCCACTTTAAGATGTTTTCCTTGTTCGTGTTTTAAGTTTTTGTGTTTGTTGTGGTTGCACCCGATTCAAGAGCCGAATGGCTCACAGGGCTACACCAAAATAAATGGAACTGGAACTGAACTGAAACTGCTCCAGAGACAACGCTTGCACCGCCTCACCTCCAGTATTGTCTGCAGCTCCTCCACGTAGACCCTCTCCGTCTCCAGGAGCTCCGTCATGATGTGACTGCGGCAAGCACAACAAAGAAGGGGGCAGCTTTGACCGCGGAACAAACGTTGGCTGAAACACAGACAGCCTAGCATCATGACGCACGGGGTGGTGGGCTAGGATTATGAAACTAAACTAGTCGTTTTTTTTTTTACCCATATGGAACACCACCACGGGAAACGGGAGTAGAGTCGGGGATGCGATGCGTGGGCGAAACTAAAAAGTATCAGGAAAGAGAAGGGAGCAGTCGACAGAATGCGAGACAAGAGGGTTAAGGATGGGAAAATTGATGACCATTACTATATTTGTTTTAGCAGGTAAAGGCCCACTGAGCTACCTAGACTCCGGCCATCACAAATGACAGCTCAACGAAGTGGCTCGTCATCATCGTGTGGAAATTTATGGCGGCAGGCAAATGCTCTAAACGCGTGGCGACGTCGATCCCAAACGTGCAGGGAAAAACCGGAGGACCCGGACGAAAAATCCACACAGAGCCCCATAAGTTTGTCGTCCTTTCTCCCGCACCTCCGATGAGCAACACACGTACATTTAATTAGTGCAGATAATTAACATGAGGGGAGGGGGAGGTGGGTATAGCCGGCACCACGCACGGACTAACTTTGTCTCCCGAGTGGCGATGTTTACACACCGCACCAGGCACTCATTTGAGGCCGAGTCGACCTAGAAGAGGCCCAGAACCGCTTCAGATAATCATCACCGGTGTTGGTGGCCGTGAGCAGGAATAGAACTCGGGTCGGACGAGTTCGTAGCGCAGCGTAGCGCTAACCGCTCCACGGATGCACACACACACACGCACAAAACACACGTGCACACACACACACAAAACACACGTGCACACACACACAAAACACACGTGCACACACACACACAAAACACACGTGCACACACACACAAAACACACGTGCACACACACACACAAAACACGTGCACACACACACACAAAACACGTGCACACACACACAAAACACATGCGCACACAAAACACACGCGCACACGCAAGGGTGGCGCTGACACGAGGTGTGAGCCACACCTCCTGTGGAGCGTCAGGTTTTCCTCGTTCTCCATGGGGACGGACGGCAGGCAGACACCTCCCTGGCTGTTCTCGTACACGACTTCGATCTGCAAACACATCGCTCCACTGCATTGAAAGGGCTGCGAGACGCCAAGGCAACGCTACGGCTACCGCCGGCAACGCGTCAACTCTGAGCGACTACGGCAGAGTGAACAAGTTGCGAGTGAAAACAGGGTTTGTTGAAAAGTGAGTGTTTGAGGATAGGTTCCCCCCCCCCCCCTTGTTTCTGGCAACAAAACAGCTGTGTTAAGTTGTTAAAACACCAAATTGAAACCTTTTCCAAGGAATCATGTTACAGCATTAATCACAATACTTGTGGTCAGAATGCAAACAAAAAACACTCTGAAAATATTTGCATTGTCTTTTAAACGGATCGGTCCACACCAGAGACAGCTTTCTATGGGAAAAGGGGAAAAAACCTATTCTCATATTTTGGTACTGGCAAAGGAGGTCCCATGATGTAGATGCTCACCCCGAGCTCTCATTACTCCGATAGTGGCATTGTCTTTGTGCTGTGTACGCCTAATGCCATCCTCTGGTCTAACACCGTTTGAGACGAGGCTCAAAAGAAAGCTGTCTCTGGGATAAGACGCGCAACGCCAAATATACAGCAGCAGGCGTCAGGGTCGGGTTCAAACCCACGACCTCCTGCATACCAGGCGAGGTAGTTAACATCTCCTAGTCATCCATAATACAGGTTTTTTTTTTGGTTAGATCACGTAAATATAAATGTGTCGTTAAACCCGCCACCACCTGACGCAGCCAACTAGTAAGGGTTGTCGCGTAAACAGAACGTGGCCAATTCGTCACTAGCACAGCACCAGTGTATAGTGTAGTGTATAGTGTAGTGTATAGTGTAGTGTATAGTGTAGTGTATAGTGTAGTGTCTAGTGTAATGTACTAGTACAGCACACCGGTGTGTTGGAGAACCAAGCCACAACATTTACAATCCGAGTATGACGTTTCGCCAGTAATCACTACCAGCTTCATCAGGCGACAGCCAGATTTGTGGAGAGGTCCACCCGTTTGCTTCCTCAAATAGAGGCGTAGATGCGATGTGACAACGCCCGTGAGCTCTTCTCGCGCGAAGTGGGGGGGGGTGGTGGAGGGGGGGGGATCACTAGGCACCGCGCTGCACCTGCACAGCGAGGGTCTTCGGGGCGCGTGAATGAATACCTTGGGTGCCGACTTCTGCTTGACGTGCCTCCTCCGCGGGGTGCTGGGTTCACCGCCAAGGCCGGGCACTGTGAATGCAACGCCCCTCGTTATTATAATCGATGGAGCGGTGGTGCAGCGATGGATGCAGCGGTGGTGCAGCGGTTTATGCAGCGGCGGTGCAGCGGTGGAGCAGTGGTGGATGCAGTGGTGGTGCTGGTGGTGCTGCTGGTGGTGCTGCTGGTGGTGCTGCTGGTGATGCTGCTGGTAGTGCTGGTGCTACTGGCGGTGCTACTGGTGGTGCTGCTGGCGGTGCTGCTGCTGGTGGTGCTGCTGGTGGTGCTGCTGGTGGTGCTGCTGGTGGTGCTGGTGCTACTGGTGGTGCTACTGGTGGTGCTGCTGGCGGTGCTGCTGCTGGTGGTGCTGCTGGTGGTGCTGCTGGTGGTGCTGCTGGTGGTGCTGGTGCTACTGGTGGTGCTGCTGGTGGTGTTACTGGTGGTGCTGCTGCTGGCGGTGCTACTGGCGGTGCTGCTGGTGGTGCTGCTGGTGGTGCTACTGGTGCTGCTACTGGTGGTGCTACTGTTGGTGCTACTGGCGGTGCTACTGGTGGTGCTACTGGCGGTGGTGCTACTGGTTGTGCTACTGTTGGTGCTACTGGCGGTGGTGCTCACCTGGGGAGCCGTTGGTCGCGGGCTGGGCGGGCGGCTCGGGCACCGTCTCGGGCTGCGGGGCGACCGGCTGCACGGGGCGGGCGTGCCGGGCCGTCAGCTTGCACAGGCTCATCCGCCGCTCCTCCATCATCGCGCCCATTTTCTCCAGCTTCGCGAACACTCTCTGCACGCACAGCTGCGCACGAGCACGCGGACAACCGACCGCGGCGTCAACCGTCGACTCTAAAGCCGCCGAAACGTCACGTGTCCGGGACGGGGGAACGTGCTTCCGGCGGCTTCAGAAAGTTCGTCGCGCGGTGTCCCGTGAAATCAGTTGTTGCTCACCAAGTTTCGAGGTGGGTGGGGGGGGGGTGGGGGGAGTGGAGGGAGTGGGGGGGGTGGGTGGGTGGGGTCACACGAGAAAGAGAGAGAGAGAGAGCGACGGCGAGCGTCACTCGCCTCCATGTCGGGCGCGAGGATGGACTCGAACTCCTCGTGGAAGCTCTTGGAGTAGTGGACTTGGTGCTCCTCGCAGTTCTCCATGAAGGCCTCGATCTCTCGCAGCGACACCTCGGCACCCTCTTGCGACTGGAACTTGGCGACGGGCTGGCAGGCCAGCAGGTACATGCCGTCCTCGTACCATTGCAGTGCCTGGGAAGTACACGGGAGGTGGCAAAGGGGGGGGGGGGGTAGATGCGTCAGCGACAGCCGGTGGTGACAATTAGGACGGCGGATTTGTGTCAACGGGCGCTTGAAAGCGACGGAATCTCAAAAGCGGCATCGCATCGCATCTGAAGCATTGGTGACGGTGGCGACGGTGATGTCCGTGCTGGTGATGACAGCAACGTCTCAGATTCATGTCATTTACTGTTGGGTTTAGGCCACGTGATGGTCTCTATGTCTGTGGCCATGTGATGGTCTGTATGTCTGTGGCCACGTGATGGTCTGTATGTCTGTGGCCACGTGATGGTCTGTATGTCTGTGTCTGTGGGGATCGGCAGAGTAGCGGTGAGCCACGCCGCGTGATGGGATCGACTCGTGGCTAGGGTCTGCGTGGTTTTTAACACTGCCGATGCCTCCGCGTGCGTGTGTGTGTGGGGAGCGGTGGTGCAGCGGTTAGCGCTGCGTGGCGCCACGATCCCGGTGACCCGGGTTCGATTCCCGCTCACGGCCAACGCCGGTGACGATTATCTGAACCAGTCCTGGGCCTCCCCTAGGTCGACTTAACCTTAAACAAGTACTCGGTGCGGTGTGTACACATCGTCACTGGGGAGACAAAGGTGGCCGGGCTTGGTGCTGGCCACCCACTCCCTCGTGTGCAGCACTTGCCCCAACAGCGTGTTAGGGGCTATACGGGGGATCTTTGTATTTGTCTTGTATGTTGAACCACTTTCGTACCGTACGTAGCCAACCGTGCTAATCGGAGGTATGGGTGGGAAGGTCAACAAACCAAACACAAAAAGCAGTTCTAATAAAATGAGTTTTCAAGATCAAATCTCTACCGTTAAGACCCTCCACCACCCGACGCAGCCAATCGAATTACATTTGGTCTGCTCGTTACATTATTACTGACCACGTGCCCAGCACTGTCTGTGCTGCTGCTGATGGTGATGGCGATGTTCGCGCTGCTCGTGATCGTGATGTTCACGATGCTGGTGATGGTGATGTTCACGCTGCTGGTGATAGTGACGCTTCTCTTGTACAAGAACCACACGTGATTTAATCGCCTATTCGCGCCGCGCAGTCTCAATCGGCGGGTTTCCATGAAGCGGTCGAAAATTCAACTCAACTAATTTTTATTAATTACCCAGGAGGCAAGCCCATCTATCGATCCCTCTGCCGGAAGAGCTGGTGGGTCGGTGAAGGCCACAACACAGCAGGTTGCCTGCTGCTGCTGTTGCTGCTGCTGCTGTGGGGATCCGTGATGAACAGCAGAGGGCAGTGCAGCAGAGCCCAAAACCCATGGCAGTACTCTGCTGGAGAGGCTTACCTCGTTATTCGCGAGGGAAACGCTGTACTCCGTAATTCAAAATCGCTATCCGCGAGTTGGCGGCCTACCGACCGACGGAGCGAGCGACGGAACGAGAGACGGAACGAGCGACGGAACGAGCAGAGGAACGAGCAGAGGAACGAGCGACGGAGCGAGCGACAAAACGAGCAGAGGAACGAGCGACGGAGCGAGCGACGGAACGAGCGACGGAGCGAGCGATGGAACGAGCAGAGGAACGAGCGACGGAACGAGCGACGGAACAAGAGACGGAACGAGCAGAGGAACGAGCAGAGGAACGAGCGACGGAGCGAGCGACAAAACGAGCAGAGGAACGAGAGACGGAACGAGCGACGGAACGAGCGACGGAGCGAGCCATGGAACGAGCGACGGAATGAGCGACGGAACAAGAGACGGAGCGAGCGACGGAACGAGCGAGGGAACGAGCGACGGAACGAGCGACGGAGCGAGCGACGGAACGAGCGACGGAGCGAGCGACGGAGCGAGCGACGGAGCGAGCGACGGAACAAGAGACGGAGCGAGCGACGGAGCGAGCGACGGAGCGAGCGACGGAACGAGCGACGGAACGAGCGACGGAGCGAGCCATGGAACGAGCGACGGAATGAGCGACGGAGCGAGAGACGGAGCGAGCGACGGAGCGAGAGACGGAGCGAGCGACGGAACGAGCGAGGGAACGAGCGACGGAGCGAGCGACGGAACGAGCGACGGAGCGAGAGACGGAGCGAGCGACGGAGCGAGCGACGGAGCGAGCGACGGAGCGAGCGACGGAGCGAGCGACAGAATGAGCGACGGAACGAGCGAGGGAACGAGCGGCGGAGCGAGCGACGGAACGAGCGACGGAACGAGAGACGGAACGAGCAGAGGAACGAGAGACGGAGCGAGCGACGGAGCGAGCGACGGAACGAGCGACGGAGCGAGAGATGGAGCGAGCGACGGAGCGAGCGACGGAGCGAGCGACGGAACGAGCGACGGAGCGAGCGACGGAGCGAGCGACGGAGCGAGAGACGGAGCGAGCGACGGAGCGAGAGACGGAACGAGCAGAGGAACGAGAGACGGAGCGAGCGACGGAACGAGCGACGGAACGAGCGACGGAGCGAGCCATGGAACGAGCGACGGAATGAGCGACGGAGCGAGAGACGGAGCGAGAGACGGAGCGAGCGACGGAACGAGCGACGGAGCGAGCGACGGAGCGAGCGACGGAGCGAGCGACGGAGCGAGAGACGGAGCGAGCGACGGAGCGAGAGACGGAGCGAGAGACGGAGCGAGCGACGGAACGAGCGACGGAGCGAGCGACGGAGCGAGAGACGGAGCGAGCGACGGAGCGAGCGACGGAGCGAGAGACGGAGCGAGCGACGGAGCGAGAGACGGAGCGAGCGACGGAGCGAGCGACGGAGCGAGAGACGGAGCGAGCGACGGAGCGAGCGACGGAGCGAGAGACGGAGCGAGAGACGGAGCGAGCGACGGAGCGAGCGACGGAGCGAGCGACGGAGCGAGCGACGGAGCGAGAGACGGAGCGAGCGACGGAGCGAGCGACGGAGCGAGCGACGGAGCGAGCGACGGAGCGAGAGACGGAGCGAGAGACGGAGCGAGCGACGGAACGAGCGACGGAACGAGCGACGGAGCGAGCGACGGAGCGAGAGACGGAGCGAGCGACGGAGCGAGCGACGGAGCGAGAGACGGAGCGAGCGACGGAGCGAGAGACGGAGCGAGCGACGGAGCGAGAGACGGAGCGAGCGACGGAGCGAGAGACGGAGCGAGCGACGGAGCGAGAGACGGAGCGAGCGACGGAGCGAGCGACGGAGCGAGCGACGGAGCGAGCGACGGAGCGAGCGACGGAGCGAGAGACGGAGAGAGAGACGGAGCGAGAGACGGAGCGAGCGACGGAGAGAGAGACGGAGCGAGAGACGGAGCGAGCGACGGAGCGAGAGACGGAGCGAGCGACGGAGCGAGCGACGGAGCGAGCGACGGAACGAGCGACGGAGCGAGCGACGGAGCGAGAGACGGAGCGAGAGACGGAGCGAGCGACGGAGCGAGAGACGGAGCGAGCGACGGAGCGAGAGACGGAGCGAGCGACGGAGCGAGAGACGGAGCGAGCGACGGAGCGAGCGACGGAGCGAGCGACGGAGCGAGCGACGGAGCGAGCGACGGAGCGAGAGACGGAGCGAGCGACGGAAGCGAGCGACGGAGCGAGCGACGGAGCGAGAGACGGAGCGAGCGACGGATGCGAGCGACGGAGCGAGAGACGGAGCGAGCGACGGAGCGAGCGACGGAACGAGCGACGGAGCGAGAGACGGAGCGAGCGACGGAGCGAGAGACGGAACGAGCGACGGAGCGAGCGACGGAGCGAGCGACGGAACGAGCAACGGAGCGAGCGACGGAGCGAGAGACGGAGCGAGCAACCTTCTCGAGCTTGGTCCACATGCAGTGCGCCTTGGCGAGGGAACTGAGCTTGGTGGCGAGGTCCTCGGAGAAGTCCACGCGGAGTTTCCTCAGCTCGGAGCACTTGGGCTGGATGGAGTCGACGGCGTAGTGCGCCTCGGAGATGAGGCGCTCGCCGGTCAGCGCCACTCGCTCCGCGCGGCTCACCGTCACCTGCGGGGTGGCGGGAAACACCGGCGTGCTTCTCTCCGGTCAGCTCCGCTCATCCGTGGACAGTCGTATCATTGTTAAAGTAGCGTTAACAACAGCAGGATGTACAGACATAACGTGCATGCACAATGCGTACGCACAATGTATGTTGATAACCCTATCAATAACCCGGTAATGGCTATCCACTGTCATTTATATGAATCCATTGACCCACCGCCCCGGTCCTCTGGCCTTCGCGCCTGATTGGCTCACTCGTGATGACATCACATTTACCCCTCTGTTTAAGAACGATTCAGGAGGTTTCGATCTGATTCATATAAATTAAAATGGGCGAGAGAGGTGGGGTCGGGGGGGGGGTGGGAGCGGGGGGGGAGGTGGGGGCAGGCGGGGAGGTGGGGGCGGTGGGAGGGGTTGGGCGAGGGGAGTGGTGGTGGAGCAAGGAGGTGGGGGGAGGGTGAAAGCTTGGGAGGTTGGGCGAGGGGGATGGGGGCGGGGGGGTGAGGTACAGAAACTCCGTGGACACAAGTCACGAGCGCTGTGCTCCTGAGTTTAGACGGGGGGGGGGGGGAGGGGTGAATGGGGGGCTCGCTGCTGGGGACGGTGAGCGGGGTGCGTGGACCTTTTGAATGGAAATAGTAAAGGGAGGATGACTTAGGAAGGAATAACTCACTCGTGCGTCGTATCAACCTGTTATGGTCCCGGAGGGCGGCGATCGACTCCCGTCCATCCCCGGGGTAAGGTGGTGGTGGTGGGGGGGGGGGGGGCTCCTTGCGCCCATTCCCCCCTCCCCCCTCCCTCCCGGCGTACACACCTCACATCGTGCTCCGGGTTAGAATAATTATAATTACTATTCTCACTACTACCGCTACACTCGTTTCCCCAGGAAAGTCTCACCAGTGTCCCAAGAAGCTCTTCAAGGAGGGCGCTGGCCAAGGTTTCAGCAGTGGCAGGACGATGTTAAACTGTTCGAGAGATTCTCACGCTCCACCTCCCCCCCCCCCCCGTTAAACTCGGCAACGTCGTTCGCGACCGCCGAGACGGATGAGCAAAAAACAAACTCACGCCGGGACAATTCACACGCGCTGGCCGTGAGTGCAGTGCGAATCATCAGGCACCAGACCGCGTTGTCCACTGCGGGTCAAGGTGCTGTCAGCAGCATGCAGGACAGCTGTGAGACGGCGTAGAGGTGGCCACAGGCCGTGAGCAACTGGTGGATGGTGGCCGGTTGATGGCGAGCGGTGGGCAGTCATCGGAGGCGATGGGGAAGCGAGTGGGTGGTGGGGTGGTGAGTAGGGGGGGTGAGGTAGTGAGTAGGGGTGGTGAGTAGGGGTAGTGAGTAGGGGTAGTGAGTAGGGGTGGTGAGTAGGGGTGGTGAGTAGGGGTGGTGAGTAGGGGTAGTGAGTAGGGGTAGTGAGTAGGGGTAGTGAGTAGGGGTAGTGAGTAGGGGTGGTGAGTAGGGGTGGTGAGGTAGTGAGTAGGGGTAGTGAGTAGGGGTGGTGAGGTAGTGAGTAGGGGTAGTGAGTAGGGGTAGTGAGTAGGGGTAGTGAGTAGGGGTGGTGAGTAGGGGTAGTGAGTAGGGGTAGTGAGTAGGGGTAGTGAGTAGGGGTGGTGAGGTAGTGAGTAGGGGTAGTGAGTAGGGGTGGTGAGGTAGTTGGTAGCGGCCAGTGGGTGAGCCGTCTGTGTGCTGCATGAGGAAGCACCTGCGCTGCTTTGTCCAGGCACTGCAGCTCCTGCAGCAGAGCCTTGGCCTGCGCGGAGTTTTCGGCCGTTGCTGCCACCCGGGAGTTCCTCTCCTGCAGCTCCTCAAACTGCCCCATCACCTTCATCACCACCGGCGACAAAGACAAAGACAAAGGTCCCCCCCAAAGTCTTGACGGACCGCCGGCACCAAGTGCCGTTCAGCGAGCACCTACGAATGCCGGCACGGCACGCGGGGTGGGCGTGGGGGGCCGGGGAGAGAGTGGCGAGCGCCACGCTCGGCCGCCTTCGTCTCCCCGGAGTGGTGATGTTTACGCACCGCGGGCCGGGTACCCGTTTGAGGCCGAGTCGACCTAGGGGAGGGCCATTGACCACTGCGCTACCGCTCCCCGCTCAGGCCGCCATCGCACGCGAGCAACTTTCATCCACGGACGGTGGTAGAGATCGCTAACAACCACTGGTTGTAGATGTTGTGGGTTCACTCTCCCACACACCGATTTGCTGTAACAAATTGGCACGTTGTGTTTACGTGACAAACCTTTACGAATTGGCCGTGTCAGGTGGATTCCTCCGGCACGATTTCTGATCCGAGCACCTTCAACGTCCGCACCTCCCACCCGCCCTTCTACAAAAGAACCGCCGTTTAAAATCTCCATCCCCCCCCCCACCGCGACGAGCATCTCTTTGATATCGCCAGCGGTCCGCACCTCCCGGAAGTCTTGCTCAAAGTATCGGAACTGAAGGCACTGCTGTAGCTTCAGGTGGTGCTTGGCCCAGAACTTGTCGGCGGCACCGTCGGCCTCGCCCAGCCGCGACAGGAGCCTGGCGGGGAACGGCAGGAGGCAGGGCCTCGGTTTCGTTTGGTAACGGACGGGGCCGTGGGTGCGGGCCGGGTGGTGGGGGGGGTAGTGGGGGGGGTGGAGGGGCAGGGGGGGGCGGCGGGGGGGGTAGGGGGGGCGGGGGGGGGGGCAGGGGGCAGTGCAGCGTCTGCGAGGGAAAGGTGAAGGTTCGGGGAGATACAAAGGTGTCGGGGATAAGGTCGCGTGGCGTACGTGGCGACAGACCACGTGAATCGGAGGCGCGGGGGGGGGAGGAGCGGGGGCGGCGGGGAGGACAACGAACGAAACGCGAGGAGCACTTCTCCAGCGGCGAGTTTTGAGTGGAGACGACTTAATTAGAGCACGGCTCCCCGGTGGCGGGGGGCGAGGGTGCCACTCTCACCGCTGCACGGAGCGCATCCCCTGCAGGCGGTCCAGGCTCGGCTGGTAGCCGGGGTCGCTGGAGGTCGGCTCGGCGATTTTGCTGAGCAGGCGCCGGCCCTGCTCCAGCACGGACTCCAGCAGGGCCTGCGGAGAGACGCGCGGCCGTGAAGCAGGGGTGGTCAACCCCCCCCGTCACCCCCTCCCCCCCCCGGTCCTCCCCCCCCCCCCCCCCGCTTCCACATCACTCCCCCCACCCCATCACTCCCCCCACCCCGTCACCCCCCCTGTAACCCCCCCCCCCGTCACCCCATTTTCCCATCCCCTCCCCCCGTCATCTCCTGACACTCCATCGTCACCCCCCTCCACCCGTCACCCGGTAACAATTTTGAGATGTAAGAGTTGTTCGGACATTTGAGATTTGTGCTTTCCGCAGCCTTGGTTCGTAATTTGCGTTGCTAATTTTGATCCGGGTGCAACTGCGAACGCGTGTGTGCGCGTGTGTGTGTGTGCATGTGTGTGTGTGTGTGCATGTGTGTGTATGCATGTGTGTGTGCGTGTGTGCATGTGCGTGTGTGCGTGTGTGTGCGTGTGTGTGTGCGCGTGCGTGTGTGTGTGTGCGTGTGTGTGTGTGTGCGTGTGTGTGTGTGCGTGCATGTGTGTGTGTGTGTGCGTGTGTGTGCGTGTGTGTGTGCGCGTGCGTGTGTGTGTGTGCGTGTGTGTGTGTGTGCGTGCATGTGTGTGTGTGTGTGTGCGCGCGCGACTTCATCGGCGTCTGTTGCTTAAGAGAGCATTACACCAGCACCGACTGCTGTGACTTTACCGAAAGAACCAAAGAGTACCGACTGGTAACTTTTACCGTCAAGCCACATTCCCATTGGTTGTTGTTTGTGTGTGTGGTCTACGGAGACAGACAGACGCTGTTCGACCACCACACAGCACGATCGACCACACCACAGGCCACCCACCACACCACACTGCCCACCACCACACAGCTTCACCACACCAGACTGCGCCACCACCACCACAACCACCACACTAGCCACGGCACAGCCTCACCAAACCACATTGGCCACCGCCACAGACCACCACACAGGGCACCCACCACACCACGCAAGCCACCACACAGGCCACCCACCACACCACACCGCACACCACCACACAGCTTCACCACAATGGCCGGCGGCTGCCACCACCGCCGCCGCCTAGGCCCGGCGACTTTGGGAGAGCCTCACGGCCGCACGCGGCACCACCCGAACCACCCGAGGTGCCAGGGCGGGGCTGCCGCGACCGGGGCGGCACGTTGCCCCGGGGCGACGACGCGGCGGCGGCGTCTCACCTTGACGTCGTCGCGCTGCCGGCTGTGGGCCCCCAGCAGCTCCTCGGTGGCCCTCACGGTGTTGGGCAGCTCGGTCTCGGCCAGCTCCAGGCCCACCGCCTGCAGGGTGTGCACGGCGTCGTGCGCCACCTCCGAAAATCCCTCCAGGTCCTGGCGAAGGGAGCCAAGAGTTGGGAGTGGGGGGGGCAGGGTGGAGTGTCGTTTGGAGGTGGGGGGCCCGTGACCGGTTCTAATATGTCGCGAGCCGTGGCCGGGAATGACTAAACTACTATTTGAAACGATTTTATTTTTTATATTAGCAGGTAAAGCCCCACTGAGCAGTTTTTTTCAGAAGCGACCCAGCCACAAATGATAGCCTCAACGACGTGGCTTATCATCACGTGCTAATTTATAGCAGCCAAATACTCTAAACGCGTGATGTGGGGGGGAAACAGGAGGATCCGGATAAAAAATCCACGTGACCACGGGTAGAGAGAACACGCAAACTCCAAATATACAGCAGCAGGCATCAGGGTCAGGATCGAATCCACGACCTCCTGTATACCAGGCGAGGTATTTACATCATGAGACCTCCTTTGCCAGTAACAAGATATAGTAATAGGTTTTACCCTTTTAACGCCTTTTGGCGTCCTCTGGTCCAACACCAGTGGAGACTAGGCTCTAAAGAAAGCCGTCTCGGGTGTGGACCAATCAAATTCAAGGACAGTGCATATTATTATCAGAGTTGTCTCTTTTTGTTTGCATTTTGACTGCTTGTGTTGTGGTTATTGCAAACATGATGCCTTGAATAAAGGTGTCAGTTTTTGTGCCAGTTAAAAGGGTAAAACCTATTACTATACCAGGCGAGGTAGTTAACATCTCCTAGAGAGGTGGCGGGCCCGCGACCGGTTCTGAGTTGTCACGAGACGCGGCCGGGAATTTGAACTTCACGGCGCAGGTGCGCTCCACCCCGCCGTGCCACCGCTCGCACCCCCGCGCTTCCGCTAAGAGTCGGTGAGCGCGAGAGTGAAGCAGTGGCGTCGCTGTCGGGATCGCAGGTGGTGCGACTGCACCGGGCCCTCCACGGTCCCCAAGGGTCCAAGTGCCAGGCTGACAAGAGGGAGAATATTTGGACTTGGCAGGGGCGGCCCATTTGATTTTATTCCTTGCCGCCAGCGTTTGCGCCAAGCAGGGTACACCACTCCTCCGCTACTTTCATTCGTGGCCAATTTGCTTCGCAAAAAAAAAAGAGCGATACAGCTCAGTGAGCCTTACCTGGTCACAAATTGAAAATAGTTTTTTTTTTTATATATATAGTTTTTAGACTCGCTGGCGAGCCCTCCTGTGATTCCCATGCCGTGCATGACCTTTCTTGACCTCTCTATAGAGGCCTGCTGGCTGAAAGAAAAAACGGAATTTCTTAGGGGCCAACGGGCGTTCAATTATTAACGCTGTAAAAAAAGAAATGTATTATCCTTCCCCCTCACCTCCGATCGAGCACGGTTGGCTACGCACAGTGCAAAAGAAGTTCAACATACACACGTTTCTCCCCCCCCACCCCCCAACCCATGCTTCCATTACAATTCGGCGTCATCGTCGGTGCTGTTATCGGTGGTGTTATCGTAAGCGACAGAGGCGACGGGCGGGGCCGTACGGAGCGCAGCTGGATCCACTCGGAGTGCGTGTAGACCAGGGTGCCTCCCAGCTCCGGCGTGAGCTGCGACCGGTCTATGGACATGTGTAGCTCGCCCAGGGAGTTGGGCAGCATGAGCTGCTCGCACACACGCAAGGACAAAGATCACCCTGGTAGCCTTCAACGGACGGTCGGGGCAAGTGTCATTAGCGACGTACTGCTTGCAAAGGCCGGCACGGCACACGAGGGGGTGGGTGACCAGCACCACGCCCGGCCACCTTTCAACAAAGACACAGATTCCATACATAGCCTTTAACAGACTGTTGGGGCAAGTGCTGTTAGCGAGCACCTATGAAGGCCGGCACGGCATACGAAGGGGTGGGTGGCCAACACCACGCTCGACCGCCTTTGTCTCCCCAGTGGTGATGTTTATACACAGCACCAGGTACACATTTGAGGCTGGGTCGACGTAAGGGAGGCCCTGGACCGGTTCAGATAATCGTCACTGGTGTTGGCCGTGAGCAGGAATGGAACCCGGGGAGCTGGGTTCGTAGCGCTAAACACTACACCGCTGCTCCCCACACTACCACACAGTAACACAGTCACACAGTAACACTGCCACACAGTAACACTGTCACACAGTAACACTGTCACACAGTAACACTGTCACACAGTAACACTGCCACACAGTAACACTGCCACACGACCCATTACCTGCACAGGTAAGTTGAACTCATCTTTGCTGAACCTCAGACCAAAGCTGGAGAACGTCGACTGCAGGAAGCCGCACGGACGGAGCACGTGGACCTCGCGCAGACCGGCCGGGAACAGCTCCTGCACGCCGCACGTGGAGCACGCCGCATGCTCATACACAAAGCACGCAGGACACATCGGAGCACACCACACCCAAACCGCTGGTACACGCCACACACGCAGCACATCGCAGAGCACGCCATGCGCAATGGGGTCACGGTGCAAACAATTCAAACAGTGGGGCGCGCGCCCTCCAGCGTAGCATTCGCAGACGATTGAGTGGCGGTCGCACGGGTAACGGGAGCTGCAGAGGTCGCTGCAAAAAAAAATCAACACCGCACGCCGCTTACGGAGATGCGCATGAGCACCACTTTCAGTGAGCTCCATCGGTCTTGACGACGATCGATGACCAGGATGAAGCCAGAATCTTCCGTGTCCAGCCTGGGAGGGAGAGAGACGCAACAACACAACGCCCGGGTGAGTACTCACCTTTACGCTTACATCCCTGAGCCGATGGTGGAAATTCCACATCCCACTAGGGGCGGCGGAGGTGGGGGGGGTGGAGGTGGGGGTGGTGGAGGTGGGGGTGGTGGAGGCGGGGGTGGTGGGGGTGGTGGAGGTGGTAGTGGAGGTGGTGGAGGTGGTGGTGATGGAGGTGGGGGTGGTGGAGGTGGTGGGGGTGGTGGAGGTGGTAGTGGAGTTCGTGGAGGTGGGGGTGGTGGAGGTGGGGGTGGTGGAGATGAGGGTGGTGGAGGTGGTAGTGGAGGTGGCGGAAGCGGGAGTGGTGGAGGCGTTGTTATCTGGAGGACAACCACTGGTGACTCTCTCTCAAGAGTGCTGCTAATTTTACCACCCCAGAGGGATGATGGGCCGAATCAACCCCTGACCAGGGATTGAATCCGTAACAGCTCGATTGCGAGCCGCTCGCTCTACCGCGAAGCCTCCTGGAGGCCGGTTTCTGAGCAAGCAATTGGCTTTTAAATTAAATCAATAAATCGTTACACACAGAGGTCCGCCACGTAACAGGAATGGTGGCTCCCACAGAAATCAGAAATCAAAATAATCTCCCCTCGAACAAAGCGGCACGGCATTGGGAGGACTTTCATCCAGCGGTGGATTGGCAAATAACGATCGCCACGGTCTCCCTATTCATTGCACTAAGGTTGTCGCAGAAGCGTTTAATTTTTTCTAATAATAATAATAAAATCGCCGCGTGGTTTTTTTAGCTCGGATTAATTTCCTAGACATTTTTCCTTCTGCTCACTTTGACCGGACGGAAATTGCGGCTCGGCTCGTGAAACCCGACCCCTGTTCCTGAATCGCTCAACCCGCACAAAGCGTGGGCAGGGGTGGGGGGGGGGGGTTGCCTCTTTTCCTTTCCTCCTCCCTCCCCCCCCCCTCGGCCTTCACCGAAAACCCACGGCATTCCCACAGAGGGAGCCCATTGTAAGCTCACGTCGTTCCTTCAGAGTTTGAGAAACTGTGGGGGGGAGGGGGGGGGGAAATAAAAAAAATCATCCAGAGAGTGGCGGAATAAATCTAGGGTTCCACGGCGTAGGGGAAGGCCTTTATCCAGTAGTGGACTGACAAGATAGCCGTTTGTGTGCCTCGCGATCCACTAACCCTACGGCCGGAGCACTTTGGAACCGCAACCACCGGACAAGGAGGAGTGGAGGAGGTGGGCGATGGAATTGTCACGCGGCAGCGTGGGATTTTAGTGATCGGTCTCAACTCCGATTTTATATTTGCATGTTTTTTTTTACTTAAGCAAGCATCCCCCCCCCCCCCCCCCCCCCCCCCCCCGCTTTGCTGTGTGACGGTAATGAGGCAAATTCAAGGGCCTCGCGTCAATCCTGTTAAGTTCATCTCCGTGACGACCAGTCGACAGGAAAGCTTAATTGGAAAATTAGATATACGGTGATCGGCAGAGACCCCCCGGTCCAGCAAATCAACATGTACGAATAACAATTCTAATAATAATAATACATGCGAAGTCATAAAATAAATAGGCCACGCACACTGGCCGCGTCTGTGCAGATTGGCCGTGAGCGCGTTCACAAATTACGATCGCAAAGGACCACATTCGGTATTTGCGTGACACTCTTACACGGCGCGGGCGTATCATGAATGCGTCGTTGCCTCACAGACGGACAGACAGACAGACCGTGGCCGTCAGTAGTTTGACGGTGCGTGGGTGCGTGGGTGCGTGGGCGGGGCGGGGGGGCGTTGCTGCCCTGCGTAATCCCATCGGAGTAGTTTGCAGCGAAAACTTTCAAACGCGTGCCGCAAGGGGGCCGTTCACGGTGGCTGCGGAGCGGGCGGCGAGTATTTCACGGTCATTACGCGCGGGGCGGTGTGATGTTGACTACCTCGCCTGGTGGGCAGCAGGTCGGGGGTTCGATCCCGACCCTGACGCCTGCTGCTGTATATTTGGAGTTTGCATGTCTTGCTCTCTCTCTCTCTCATCATCATCACGGTGGCTAGGAGATGTTAACTACCTCGCCTGGTGTACAGGAGGTCGTGGGTTCGATCCCGACCCTGACGCCTGCTGCTGTATATTTGGAGTTTGCATGTCTCTCTCTCTCATCATCATCACGGTGGCTAGGAGATGTTAACTACCTCGCCTGGTGGGTAGCAGGTCGGGGGTTCGATCCCGACCCTGACGCCTGCTGCTGTATATTTGGAGTTTGCGTGTCTCACTCCCCATGGTAGTGTGGATTTTTTTCTCCGGGTTCCTCCGGTTTGGCCAAATGTTTGAACACTCATTTGTGGCCAGGTCACTTCTGAAAAAGAGCTACATAGCCCAGTGGGTCTCACCAGGAAAAAAAATATTAATATATATTTGCAAAATAAATTAAACTATTTTTTGCGTGCTTTTTTCAAACCGCCATTCCTCCAGTGTCAGGCGCCCCCTACCGTCCCCCGCCCCCCCCCCCCCCCCCCCCCCCCCCCGCTTTGGCATAGACTCACAAAATAGTTAGTGGAGGCCTACTCGCAAGACACGAAGCACAAGCCACAAAAACGTGAGGCGCTGATCAAGGCGGGCGCGTGCACAATAGCCCTGGGGAGTTGAGGGCGGCGGCGGCGGCGGCGGCCGGCGGCTCCTGAAGCCACCGTTTAGGCTTTTCCCTTCCGGCGGGCCGACCCGTTCGAGCAATTAAAACGCCGACGGTTGGCCGAGTGATTGAGCACGACGCTCGTGGGCCCGGCTTTGCTTGATCTCCCGCACTAGTGCAGGCGGCCGCACTCGCTCGTTTCGAGCTGCCAATTAACGAGCAACTCAAAATAGATGAAAGAATCGCGGCGGGGACGGCAGGCGCGCGGGAACAGTTGCTGCAATTAGCGTGTCGTGCCGTCGCCAGTGAGAGCAAAGTCAAAGGGAAGCATCAGATGTATAATTATGTTTGTTGCTGTTGTTGTTAATAACTACAATTGATAGTTGTTGTTTTTTAAATCCTCTTTTCAGAATAATCCGCTACTTAGCGCGGCTGGCATGGGCCACGGTGCTGGAGATTAAATGCGGCCCACTGTCCATGCGTCCATGATGATGATGATGATGACAACAATGACCGCAATGCCATGATATGACCCCGAGTCCATCACGACGGCGATGACGCTGATGACCGTGATTTTATCGATGATGATGATGATGATGATAACCACGGTGACGACGACGACCAGTGAACAAATGTCGATGGACGCGAGGATTCGTGCACGGGTCCACAGCCTCACTTGGGAATGCTCGTCAGGTACTGAAGGATTGTTTGGAAGTCGGCGTCGGGGAGCTCGCAGAAGCTGGGGCACTCGGGCAGAGTGATGATGGGCGAGCCATCCTTTCCTCTTCCTCCTGCAGAACAACAACAACGACAAGAGCACAACAACAGACCGTGAGAACCACCGCCTCATAATAGCGATAATAATTCACGGCCGTGAAGTGCCGCATTTCATCCGTGGATCCCACCGATGCGCCGCCGTGTATGGAAAGCCAGGAAATTGGCAGAACCTACACAGGGTACACGGCCAGAACTAGAGGGGGGGGGGGGTTAAAGGCCAATTTCGAGAGGTGAGTTTTCAAGACAGACTTAATGCTATTTCATAATAAAGGTTTTTGGGTTAGATCGCGTTATTTATAAATGTGTCGTAACCCTCCACCACCCGACACGGCCAATCAGCAAAAAAGTGTCACATAACCATTGACTGATTACCAATCGATTATATAATTACAATACCCCCCCCCTCCGCCTCAAATCACTGCACCTGAATGAGTTAAATGATGACGTCACCCTGCTGCTCTATTTAAGACCGGGAGCAAGTGAGGACTTCACCATTCTGGCGAATTGCCCGATGATGCTGGATGTAATTACCAGCGAAACGTCGTACTCAAAAATTGGAAATGTTGTGGATTTACTCTTCAACACACCGGTGGGCTAAAGTAGTGAACTATTTTGTCTTTTGTCAACGTGACACTTTTTTGCTGATTGGCCGTGTCGGGTGGTGGGGGGTTACGATACATTTATAAATAACGCGATCTAACCCAAACACCTTTATTATGAATAAAATTGGTCGCGAAAGCCTACGTGTTAAACTTAATACTATTTAAATATAATTGAAATCAAATTGAAATATATTTTAGCTTTGCGCACTCCCTCCCTCGTCCCCACCACACACACACCGTCCAGACCACGCCCCCCCCCCCCCCACCCACAATTTTATCCACATCATGTTATCGGTGCCACGTCATTTGATTAAGGATCCATTGCGAAATATCGCAATTTGTCACATTAGAGAATGAGCCAACGGAGGCGGATACCGCAGAACTACTGCTGAGACCCCTTCGGGAGAACCTCTGTTCCACTCGGTCGGAGTCTGGCACGGAGAGTTCCGCGTTGAGCGTAGTTAATGTGCGCACGCGATGCCGACAAAGATAAATTGTTATTTTAAACAAACAAACAAACGTCTCCAGCTGCTGCACGATGTGAGCAACACAAAGATGTGTGCCACGCGGCGAAACAACGGTCTCCCGTTTACGAGAGAATCCTGGGACCTGCCGTGCATTCGTTAGCACAGTTGATCATCGATTTTATCTCCTGTTAATCGATGATCTCCTGATAATCGATGACCTTCTGTTAATGTTTTGGTCCCTTTTCCACATTGCGATTGCGTTCATCGGCATCTCGTCACGATATGAAACCTCCGATTTGGAACTCTCACAGCGCAATGGTTATCACCACCACGCGTGCCGGGGTGCGGCTTTGACGGAGAAATTTTTCCCGAAAAGCGATCTTTAAAAAAAAAAATCCTTTTTTAAAACGGTAAAGGTCACAGTTTCCCCGCTCACTCTGCTAATGAGATCGTTAGTCGCCGTGGCGGTCAAATTTAACATTTTCAATTTCCATCAAGGAGGTAAGAACTTTCGGGCCGTCGTGCCAACGTTATCGCAATGTTGGCACGTTTTACTGGGAATTGTAACTAAAAGAGGGCAAAATTGTATTATATGTAATATTAGTGTGCGGTGATTGGTGGCCGGAAAGAGAATCAATTGGCTATTCTTGAAACCCTAGATTTCGGCTAATTGAAACAATAAAACTATTTTCTATTTCAACCGGGTAAGGGCCCGCCGAACTGCACAGCTCTTAAGTCAGACGCGGCCTGGCCACGAATGACAGCTCAACGAAGCGGCTTCATCGGGCGGGGGATTTAGGAGCAGCGGCCAAACCAACTGTTTAAAAAAAGGGGCGACCCGTCTGGATTCAAGACCGATGGCAGCACGGCAGTGCCACGCTCGGTGCTGACTGGACCAAAAAAAAAAGGATAGTTCGTTAAACAAATTTGCTCGCGCGTCCGACGATTGCTGGATAATTCTCTCGAACGTCGACGACTTACCGCGGCGTAATGCGATTTTACCATGTTCATTTCAAGAAGCTCAAATATTTATCAACCTCAAATATAGTCCCCAGAAATTTGCCAACGGTGGGTGGGTTGGGGGGGGGAGTTCTTTATATATTTTTTTACACGAATCTTGGGGCTTCACGTTTCCCTGAATTTTCTTGCAGCGATCGTGGACGAGATCAGCTGACTTCCAGCTGGCAACAGCTTGGGACTTTGGGCCACAATAATTCTTCCGGGAGAAGCAATCTCATAGTTTATGATTGTCCATTTGTTTTTTTTTTTTATCAGACGACACATGCGTGCAATCACGTGCGTGCATACATACATACATATGTACGAACATCGTACACATAAATATAAAACTGAATAGACAAACTTTTGTAAATGTCTTGATGGAATGCTGAAAGATTTCTAACACTGCCTAAGCCATTCCGTTTATAATCTATCAATATTCGTGATGTTTTGCTCCCCATTACATCTACTTTCCATCTCGTCGCTTTCCTGTCAAAGAGTAAGCATGTGCACTTTTTCATACGCGTGTATAATTCAAAGTGCAATCTTAGCTTTATTTTTTACTTAGCCGTATTTCATCATTGTGCCGTTCGCGTACTGTTACAATTATAGTTCACGTTACAATTAGAGTCCACGTTCGATACGTTTCAATGGGTAAAAAAAAAGCGTTAAACAGTTATCCAAAGTCACACAGGACGGCTTTGAAAAAGGAAACTATGCTGATCCATGAACCCCCATCAGAGTTTTCATTTCTCAATGGATTTATTGATTTAGATTTAGCTTAAATTTTTCTTATTTCTATTCATGTTTAATTTCAAAATTTTCCCCCCGTTCACTTCTTTTTATTTTCACTTCTCAACGGATTTATTTAGATTCAGCTTAACCTATGAATTTTTATTTATTTCTATTAACTTTTTATATTTTTGTTTTTGCTATTTCTCCCGTTCAATTATTTTATTCTATTTCTCAACGGATTTCTGTATTAAAATTGACTTTATGAATGTATTTATTAATAGTTATTTATTTGTAAGAATGTATTTATTAACGTCTTACAATTCCTTTTTCCTGTTTTTATTTTCATTTACCGACGTGTTTATTTCACACCACAGAAACTCCCTTTCCCACTGGCTCGCCAGGAGGAGGCGGTACCACCGACCAATAATGTGGAAACTTTTAAAGTCTCGCCTTATTCTATTTAGCTTCTCCTTCTCTCTCGGCCTTTCCTTACCCTTATCCTTACAAGGGCGCCTCGAGACGTCAGTGGAAATTATTATCAAGTGTGGACTAATCCACATCTGTTCCAACTGGATGAGATAGCGCGTCTCTCTCTCCGTCTCTCTTTGTCTCTTTCAAGCACGCGTGGGTTTTTTGTGTGCGGGCGCTTCCCGGTTTTCCCCCACTCGTGTAAACACTCGTCCGTATTTTTTCGTTGCTGAAAAACATCTTGACGCGTGCACGCGCCCGGCCGCCCGCACGCGTTGTGGGAAAACTGCGCGGCGTTTTGCAGATTTGCAAATTGGCGCGACGGAATGATGATGCCGATGAGGCCAGAGGCGTTTTTTTTATCATCGCTAATCTTTAAAAAAGAAAAAACTCCCCAAGACAAACGCACATCGGTGAACGATTACCAGAAGCATCTGCGCGCGCACGCACGCACGCACGCACACGCGCGGCAGGTACGTACGCTCACCGCATGCACGGTGTTGCGATTACGCACACACGTACATACGTGCACAGGCTCACACCGCGTTTTATTATTATCAATGCACCTTGCCAAATCGCCCCCGGGAGGGGCGGGGGCAGGGGGGGGAAGGTTCATCCATAATTTAACATCAAAGTGTACCACGGCCTCCCGAGCGGCCGTGGATTCGACGTTCCGATGCGCGATAATTTACAAATCACACGCGAAACGCGTAAAACGCTCGAGGCTGCGGGGACGCGTGCGGAAACGTGGGCCCGGCGGTCGCTCCTCGCTGCAGAGGGTCTCGGTTCGTGGTTCGAATCCAGGTGCCGGCGACGCGGGCGTTGTTTATCAACCACAAGTTCGCTACCACGCGGCCATCTGCTTCCCGGTGGAGTGGACGTTCAAGATCGCTGTGGTAGCCGAATTTGAAAAGGGAACAAATTTGCCGCATTTTAAAGATGGCCCACAATTTACTCTCGTTGGGATTTTTACGCACGAAGTCGTCGTCACCAGCTCCCTGGGAAAACATCACAGGACGCTCCTGACAAAGCGTCGCGAGGCTCGGTGTGGCTTTCGTGGGTGTCCACCCTTTAATGGGTCTCCGTGTGAGTCTGTGGGTCTCCGTGTGAGTGTCTAAGGGTCTCTGTGCCAGTGTCTATGGGTCTCCCTGTGAGTCTGGGTCTCTGTGCGAGTGTCTATGGGTCTCTGTGTGAGTGTCTATGGGTCTCCCTGTGAGTCTGGGTCTCTGTGTGAGTGTCTACGGGTCTCCGTGTGGGAGTCTATGGGTCTCTGTGTGAGTCTATGGGTCTCCGTGTGAGTCTGTGGGTCTCCGTGTGAGTGTCTATGGGTCTCCGTGTGAGTCTGTGGGTCTCCGTGTGAGTGTCTATGGGTCTCCGTGTGGGAGTCTATGGGTCTCTGTGTGAGTTTGTGGGTCTCCGTGTGAGTGTCTAAGGGTCTCTGTGCCAGTGTCTATGGGTCTCCCTGTGAGTCTGGGTCTCTGTGCGAGTGTCTATGGGTCTCCGTGTGAGTGTCTATGGGTCTCCGTGTGGGAGTCTATGGGTCTCCGTGTGAGTCTGTGGGTCTCCGTGTGAGGGTCTATGGGTCTCTGTGTCAGTGTCTATGGGTCTCTGTGTGAGTCTATGGGTCTCCGTGTGAGTCTGTGGGTCTCCGTGTGAGGGTCTATGGGTCTCTGTGTCAGTGTCTATGGGTCTCTGTGTGAGTCTGTGGGTCTCTGTGTGAGAGTCTATGGGTCTCCGTGTGGG